CATCAGAAGGCTGCGCGACAGCTGGTCGGCCGCGACATACGGCTCTCGAGTGGCGCGATCCACTTCTGCAGGCGAGGGACCCACTTTTAAATTCTTACATTATATGTTTGGAGCGCAGGATTGGTGACGGTCAAAGCCACTGAGCCTCGGTCAGCTTCTCAGCCATGTCACGGGCCCAGCGCACAAAACCATTGAGCCTCGGTCAGCTTCTCAGCCATGTCATGGGCCCAACGCAATGGTGTGTCGATCTTCCGAATGAAATATTATCCATTAATCCGCGAACATAGCATTATTGTGAGGAGGGGCCCGACCCAAGTGAACCATTGGAATCTTCAGGAGATCTCTTTAGGGAAATGCAGCTCGTAGGCCCACTCGTCTTTCTTTCCTTTTCGTGTGCCCCTCTTTTGAGGCTTTATGCTGTGCTTTAATGAGCAACGTAAAATTAAACGTCATCTGGACACGCATCTTTCACTTTTCGTCGATGCGTGGGAGCGTCGAGCTACCGAGCTACGAAAGAAGAGCCATGGGTCTGTACAGCCCCCCAGCCCCACTCATGTGTGTATTTCGCGTGTGCGTGTTAAATCTATGCCAGTGGCAAAGCTAGAGCGTATACACATATCAGGTCTGTGCACGTCCACGGAATACCACTGCTCTGCAGCAGCCACACAGCCGCTAACCTGTCAGAAGCGAGCTGAAAACGCCGTCATTTGTTCGGGATGCGAAACTTCGGCATTTCTGCCGGCTCAGGCCAAATCGTGATGAAGATCTCAGCAGCTTCCCACCCAACTCATGATGGGCGGCCTGCAGGTGTTAGAGGCACGCGTCTTATATCAGCAGCGGATTATCGTCTTTCACCTGAACGACGTGAGCAGGCGCGATTGTTGACCGCCTGCTTACTCTCATCCCAACATGATCCTGTACCGGGCGAAATGAAATCTTCTCCGTGTACGATATTATTGCCCAGGGCGGTGGCGCCTACAGAGTTAGGGTTTTCCGAAGAGTTATGAAACACCAATCACCCCTGAACTGACGAGTCGACCTCGCCGGGTCGGCGGGTCCACTAGACCGACTTCTCCGAGGTAACCAGGCGCCACATTCCACCCCGCTCTGTACAGAAGCAGCGCGCTAACACGACGTCCTCATGGCACACCAAGCGAAGCTAGAGAGGGCTGCCAGGTGGGTAAGGCAGGTGGGTAGCGTGGTCTACGGGTAAGCAAATAAGGGCATGTTCTCCACGACAGAGCTCACATCCCAGCACGCTTTCAGGCAGGGAAGCTTATCAGGCCTCGCACAGGCTTGTTTGAGGAATATGTGCTTCTTGAGACGTCAAGTCTACGGCTGTACCAACTGAAAACACATTCCTTCTACAAAGCACCCAAGTGTGATGGATCTTTGTGTGGAAATACAGCACATCTCCGAAGCAACTGTGTCTTAAGTGCACCTTTTGCATTGGCTGATAAATGGGAATGTGTTTTTTCACGTCAAAAAGTCAATTGCGGTAATCAGGCGATATTTCCGGGATATTTGCCTGCTGAGCGTTCTCACATTGGGATTTGTCGGCAGATTTTGTTTGAAATCTGGTCTGACTTCATCGTCCAGTAATTACCACTCATTTCTTCAAAAGTAACGGCGATTTTACCACATCCTATCAGCCTGCAACATCAGTTTTAGACAGCCACTCACTGAGGATATTGGCCATGATTAAAATCGCCAGGTCCGGATTATGGACGAAATGTTAGGCCGGAAGTTCCCAACCGGGGTAAAGGTTTCCCAAGGGAGAAGTGCGAGGATCTCAGGGGAACTGCAATATAGCTGAATCAAGCTGAGTTGAGGACAATTGTCCAGATGGCGCGAACAGGTAGGCGCTGACTGGGAGGTGATGCTGCCACGTGCACTGCCATCACCCCACGCACTGAGCCGAATATGCGTGCGGCGCTAGCCAAAAACAGGGACAGTGCTTCCTCCGACACGGAGTGCTTAGAGGCGAGTAACATATCAATAATTAAATTCTGCTATCTGATTTATATTTTTCAAACACATTCGCTGAGTAGAGTACTTTGCTGGACATACACGCCGCTCATGGTACTCTGTCCTCAATCAAAGGTGAGAACACGCATGAGTTACGTTGATTGCGTTTGCTATTTGGTTCGGGGGGTCAAGGGGATACTCGATCCAACCTCCGGGGGGGGGGGGGGAGGAAGGGACTTAAATAGGCTGAGAAACGCTGCGTTAAGCACTGCTGGAGAGCTGCCAGTGAAAGGGTTTACCGCTTCTGTGACCGCTGGCGTGAATCTCACCAGTTTGCTGCTGGCGCTTCGGTGGGTGTAAAACTGTGAATGGTTCGGCGCACACCACACCACGGTCAAGCCCACGTGTTACGTAATGTCCTGTACCGGAACAGGCTCTTCACTACACACGCAGCACTGATTATTAAGGAGGTGGTTCTACATCACCACCAGATCGAATCTTTTCCTCCTAAAACGAGTGGGTGGTCTTGACGCGCATAGGAAGTTCCAACCTCAGCCAAACTTGAACAAATGACTTCTTGCTTTTTCTTACCTTTTCTTCCAGCAGACACTAGACACCGATGAGTTGTCATGCTGTGAGTGCCATTTATCGTGTTCTCGTCCCCCATGTCCAAAAAACTGCAGAATTATCGCAGCGTAAAAGCTACTGACAAGAAGAAAAATACCGTTTCAGTCAGAAGAGAGTGCTGCAGCCTTCTACGCATTGAACCGAAGACAGCGTTTGGGCAGGCCCCAACCAGCATGGACCGCTCTTGACATATTTGGGAAAACTCGGGTGATGGGAAGATTCCAGCAGCAGGTCTTAGTGTGAGGTGGTGGTATGCTTCGAACAGCAGTTGTCATTATGCCTTGATTGTAACTATGTTGCCGTTCAAATCGATCAATTAATTCACAAGAAGACATGGCTGTTTACACTGCAACTGTGCTGCGTTTACAAATTTTAGCATGTACACGTAAGCAGCAGTTCCTACGAGTGAAAACGAGCCAGCATGTATGTCCTTTAAAGAATGACAGCTGCAGGCACCGTTTTCTTTCCACCAATACTGTATGCATTGATGAGAGAAAAAAAACCGCACGACCTTCGCAGCTCAGATCAAGCCGCATGTTCGTGATGGTTTTTATCCTACACGTTCGTTGTAAGCACATCAGACGCGCGTGCATAGCCCAGCACAGCTAATTGTGTCATGATTTTGTTTAATGCATATATATATATATATATATATATATATATATATATATATATATATATATATATATATATATATTTACATAGCCGTATGAGTCATGGGTCAAATGACTCAATGCAAGCAATGAGCTTGAATTGAGTCGATTAAAAATAAGAAGTGGAACAGCTGTGAGTCGAGAGCTGAATCAAATCTTAAAATCTGTGGGTCAGCCCTGAGCCGACTCAAATTTCTTGACTCGAATACGAGTCTGCTTAGGTCCCAATTTGAGTACACTTGGGGATGCACTACAAGCCACACTTTTTGTCGTCACATTGCCTGCTTTTGACGCCAGTCGCACGAGCGTAAATAATTTAGATAAATGTAAATATATGTAGATAACAGCAAACAAGCCAAAGATTAGAATCAGAATAAGTTGTTCGTTAGAGAAAGCCGGGGTGCCCAACCGCCTAAGCTATTTTGTTTCTCTGAAACAGTTTGGGGGCAGCTGCAGCAGTCTGTGAGCTGTTATGTAATCTGTGGGCATTGCTCTCCAGGACTATGCTGTAAAATATTGTTACGCAGTGCTGGGGTATGCCGACATACTTTGTATGCAGCCGATGCTGCTGAATACGTACATCGGGATACCAAGGTCAATGAATACGTACATCGGGATACCAAGGTCGGGATACCAAAGTCAATAAATGGTCAATAAATGCCTTCTGCAATACAACATTCCACACACGGATGTTTCTACTGTTTGATATACTTCACGAACCTATCCTACACAGTCTCATCTACCTACCTGTTACATTCCTAAATATCCACGGACGGATTACACCAACCTCCAGGCTAACTTTGTCCTTTTTACCGCCCTTTTTTGGCGGTCATTCCTTGGACGGTGGCTGACGTACGGCAAATCTGCTGTTCACCTTTGGGTGCCGCTTAGAGTAAATGGTAAAAGTTCAAGCCTGTCATAATCAATGACATTTACAGTCGCCTCATGTCATGTTCTGTGCTATATTCCCTCTTGCAAAATCGCGGGGTGCCTGTTCTGACCTCCCCCGTCCCCTCCGACCCTGAGGAGGCTTCCGCACGGTGATAACAACGCCCGCCTCCATCATCCTCCGCTCACGAAGTTCGCGCCCCTCCAGCCTGCTTGCCACGTGGGCGGGGCTGAGCCTCAAATCGCGAGGCCCGAAGCGCCTCTAAATGGGCGGATCAATGGGGATGAGTTTCGCTGCGTGCTGCAGCGACCATCCCGTGAAGGTCTGGGGCAAGCCGGCCAAAGCCCCTGTAATGGGGGGAGGGGGAGGGGGCACGATCGCACGAGAGATCCCTCACTGCAGATGGCTTATGTGAGTGGCGTTACAGTTGCATCATCTTCTTCGGCGGCCCTGGGCTCCAAGCCGAAGGCAACAAACACGCTCACGGAGGATTCGTGCCGGCGTGCCCGTCACCACTGCTGCCACCTAGTGTCGAATAGGTAAGGCCAAGCTTACGAAATTACCCGGTTCGATGGATATGTTAAAAAAGCTCTGACATCCTGACTCTGAAAATAGATGTTAGATAGATGAAAAACGTGCAACGAACGTGCATTAGAAGCTACTCAAGCAGTTGTTGATACCCCAAAAGTAGCAGCAACACCGAAAAAACTGCACATTAGCGGACATTCTGCCATGTCTAAATTGGGATTCATTACGTAACGAGAAATGCTCCCGTTTCGGCTGAGGAGGCTTGCACCAAACGGTACTATTCTGCTCCACGCGCATCGCGACCCCGGACTGGTGCATTTCGCGCTGACACTGACCATGGTGGGCAGGGAGCCAGGGCTCTGAGGCTTGGTCGAGTCGCAGCGGGGCACGGGCGTACAGCGCAGCTTGCTCGGGTTGAAGTAGTTGCGGTGACCGTTGTACTTGTGGAAGCAGTTGACGGCAGAGCAGCCGTTCAGCGGGTCCTGGTCAACCGAGACGCACGTGCTGACGTCGTACGGTGAATAGTAGTCTGCGGGGCAGTGGTCACAAGAGCCGAGTGGGTAAGACATGGGAGTTCGATTTGAAAAGTTTGGTTTCGGTCTAGGCGGTATCCAAACGATAACTTGTGCGTTCGGCATCAAAGCAGTGCAGCACATCCAAGTGCATGAGTCGTAAGTGTGGCCTCCAAGGTGCTGGAATGGGAAGGGGGCAGGGGGAGGGAGCAGAGACATGTGCATCGCAATTCTACCCCAAACTTTTCCTCCGAAGGTATCAGGAAGTGCACGTTTTCGTATTTTTCCCTTGGAAACAAAGCCCCATTTCATGTCAGACTGTCAGCAGATCATGATGTATTGCCAGCAGCCTGGGATGTGACCACATCCGTGGCCTCGTCGCATTCCAAATGCCGTCCGCGCTGCGGCGAACGCCGCGGAGGAGCAGGGGAGCAGCACGCCCCCGCCCCCCTCCCGGACGGGGGGGGGGGGGGGCTCGGCTCGGCTCACCTTCCGTGACGGCCGAGACGGGACCGTAACGGCTGACCGAGGTGTTGAAGTGCACCGTGTGCTGGAACGAGTGGTCGTTGTAGCGGATGGTGATCTCACACTCGCCCACCCGGTTGTAGATGTACTGAAAATGGACCGAAGCTGCACGAGCTGCGGAATGCGCAACCCCTTCCGACAAATGACGAGCTTACATTGCATAGTTCTGGTAGACTACCGGGTATTAGAACAAAAGAAATGATGCACGAATGATTGCACGAGAGCATGGGTGCAAAAAAACCCATTGTGCACCGATTTTTTTCCCTTTTTTGGCCATCAGTAAGCAACGTATTTGTTGCCTGAACATATCGTGCTCCCGTGCTCAAAACGGACAAAAAAGCAACACAACGGCCCGAGGGTGTAGTTCCAATGGGTGGGATGGGTTTTATGGGTGAATTTCAATGAGTTGGTTTCCTAGGTTGGTTTCAACGGTGAATTTCAAGGGGTTGCAACGATTTTCACAAATAGGTTTCCAACCGTATATGAGCCATTTTCTTCCACAAGTTAGGGGGACTGGGGCCGAAGTTGGAAGCCCCCTCTTCAACACACAGGAACTTACACCCCAGCAGCGGGCATCAAGAACAGCTAAACAAGTAGAGCATGTCGGCGAAAAATGATTTGATCGCGGCATCCACGCAGCTCCATCCTCAGCCCAGACCAACAATGGGGTCAGGTCCCTTTTGCAGGTTAAAGGTCTTTTTCAGACACGTGCATTTAAGGCTTTTTTTATAATAAAAATCCGATGCATGTTCACAGGCGATGAGGAGTACCGGTGTTGTGGTGGTGAAGCTGCATGTCTGGGAATTCAGAGGTACGGGTTTCGATTCCCCGTTGTGCCCCAACCTTCCTGCCAGGGTGAGAGGCAGGCGACGCCATATAGCCTCAGCAGCTGCATGCGCAGTTACACCCTAGTTACGACGTTCAAGGGTAATGACTACGGACTTCGAACGCTTCCTGGAAGCAGGTGCACATTCCAGCGTAGGAAATCCAACTTGACGACACATTTTTACCAAAAACTGAAGGTGGCGTATCGGATCGCACCATTTGAACTCTAGTCTGCACGCATTGCACGCATTGCGTGCATAAAGGTGCACGCATCCCAGACCATGACCTTCTATGTGGTTTCAACGACCCAGGGGACATGTTTGCACCGCCGGTGAGAAAGTGAGACGCTCTACTGATGTGAGAGCCCATACCGGTGCGGGCCTCTCACCAGGTTGGGGAAGAGCAGGGTGATGTTGGTCGTGTGGCCGGGTGACAGGATTCCCATGTAGCCTCCTATGAGCAGCATCGACTGGAGAGAGAGGTGTGCGGCTGGTCAGCCGGGGAGAGACCCGGATCAGCGCCGGCGAGAGATTCAGCTCCGAGGCGACAAAACGGCGTCAGACGTTTGGTGCTTGGTGTTAGGTGTAAATTTGGGAGCATTTCTTAAAGTCCAGTGTGTCTGATCGTAAACGGCTGATCAAAAATCGGTTTCTGCACCCTCCCTAACGCGTACCTACTCTTGCGGCTCTGGCTGAGGCGGATGTCCTTTACGTGGCCTTCATCAGCTGGGCATGACATATTTCCGCTACTTGTCAAAACGGTTCGACAATTTTTGTCTGTTGGCATGCAAGTTATCTGGTAGAATGCAATTTGGAACGGTACATGCATCATTTCAGTGAAGTCCAGAATATCTTTGGACTGCCCCAAACACTCCTCTAGGAACAGAGTTCCATTTTGTGAGCAGAATATTATCCGAACCGCTACGCTGACCTCACCCTCAGCATCCTGCACAGAACATTGACCTCACCCTCAGCATCCTGCACAGAACACTGACCTCACCCTCAGCATCCTGCACAGAACACTGGCCTCACCCTCAGCATCCTGCACGGAACACTGACCTCACGCTGAGCACCCTGCACGGATTACTGATGTGACTCTCAGGATCCTACACGGAGCACTGACCTCATACTCAGCATCATGCATGGAACACTGACCTTACCTTCAGCATCCTGCACGGAACACTGACCTCACCCTCAGCTGCACGCATCACTGACCTCATACTCAGCATCCTGCACGCATCACTGACCTCACACTCAGCACTCTGCACGCAACACTGACCTCACACTCAGCATCCTGCACGGAGAAATGCTGGCAACATTGCTTCATGTTTGCTCTTAGCTCCAATGGGCCGTGACCATTATTCAACACAGTCAGATCTGAAAATATTACGCCACACTTCCATACTAGATTATGGGCGAGCGTAGCTCCCATGCCACAAGCAGATGCCAGAAATACAGCCATTAATGCGCAGGTACCATTCTTACTATTCGAGTAATGACTAAATGTCATTACTCGACGTCGCCACGAAACAGTAATGCAAAAATTAGGTGGAAACGTCTTAAGCTCAAGATGATTGCCTTTAATTCCAAGCACGTGCATCTCCGATACTTGCAAATCTTGCATGGATTTTACATTGTGCAAACATTTTATCCTTTTTGTTCATGAGCTTTTAAATACCGTGCAATATTAATTCATGTGGTGTGGAAATTTCCTGCTCCAGTCTGCTGCTATGCACGTTTTAATCCTAAGCACAAGAATTAGCTATTCTGGGAAGAGCTATGGCGCCCAACTAATTCACCTGACACGCCAGAAAAAAATAACTGGTTCTCCTAGCGAAGGTCGGTGCTTTCAAAGAAAGGCAATTATACGATACTTACAGAAGGTTAATACCATGTCGTACTTGTGAAGAGGCATCACTCCCTGGTCCTGCAAAGAGCACGGCGTAAAGCACAGATATTTCTTGAAAGTTATGTTACATTTGTCTAACAGCGAGCAGCCTTCTTCGTAGAGAAGTTTCATGACGCTTTTTTTCTTTTTGTTAACCTTTCGCTCGGCTGCCTAAACTCGTTTCTGAGATAGTGCGAACGGCTTGGTTTAAGATACTGGTGCGCAAGAAAGTGCAGCATGCGGGAACTATAACGAAAAATGCGATACGAGGCACAGCGAGAGCTCGCCACCGTTCAGTGTAAAACGACTATGCGGTGTTGTGGTACGGATTGTAAACACGTCAACAACACTTACAAGCGCTGCATCAATAATACCAATTCGGGCAGACGAACGCAGCGCCTATCGTTGCAAATTACACGTTAAGACGATAATGACAAAGAGCCGGACACACAAACTGCTGCTCTGGTCCTTAGATTTGGGTCGGTAGCGGTATAATGGTCCGGCCGCTCGACTCTGGACCCGCCGGGCTGGGTTCGGGCGCCAGCCACGCTACCACCTCGCCCACATGATACCCAATAAAGGCATGCGTCTCAAAGTGGCCTTGGCAGTCCGTGAGACGTGAGTCCCAATCATTATTATTATCATTTGGTGCTTACATTGAACTTCACCAATCATAAACGAAACTGACGCAACAGCCGCCTGACGTCACCAGACTACATCACCTGATGACGTCACCAGACTACATCACCCGATGGTGTCATCGGTCTCGCCAGCTCGCCAGCCTGTCAAAGACCCTTTGACCAGCTCAACACACCTCCGCCCCCTCCCCTTTTAGGCCGCATGCGCATACCCACGCCTCCTCCCCGCCCCACCTTGATGAGGATGGGTCCGGCGGAGTTTTCGGAAGACCTCGGTCCGTGCCGTCCCGCCGCCGCCGGCAGCAGCGGGTCCAGCTGGTCGGGCGTCAGCGGCAGCTCCTCCATCATGGCCGCCGCGCCCGAGAAGGTCAGCATCAGCAGACACATGTTCACACCCGCGTGTGTGCTGTGTCGGACTCGGCGCGGCGCCAGCTTGCTGGAGACGGTGAAGGTGAAAGATCGGTGCGTGGCCCTGCAGAACTGGCTCGGCTGGGACGATCTGTTGCACTTGAGATAAATCATGGGTATGGATGATTTTGCTACTGTCTGCTCAAAGCTGAAATATCACTTCGACCTTTCATGCTTTGTTACCTGAATGAAAGCAGAGGTGGGTATACACGCCTCCTTACTCGCGGGATTTCTGAGACCATGAAAAAAATGAATAACGGATTCCCAAGCGTTGGTGTCGGCGACGACATATTCGCTGCATGTCTTCAGTGAACATATCGTTAGTATGTCTTCCAATAATGTTTTAGCCTAGGTCGCGTCACATCAGTAAGTTATAGGGTCATCTCTGAAGGCGTGTAAAGCCATTTTATAACAAATGCCGTTTTTGTTGTTGTTTAGTGGCACCTAACGGATTTTTGGGGGTACGAAATCAGCGTGTTATGACAGTTGATAAACATGAAGGTTACCTTTGATAGGTCAGTGATATATCCAAAGTAAGGGGACGCGAATAATCACATAAGCTGTTCAGCGTATTAGCAAAGAACATTATTCACATAGATAGGACAATAGTAATAGCCTTATTTCCCGGAGAAAAACCAGGGAAATGGGAGGGTAGATCCGCTGATAAGTCGGTTACATGCTTTCATCGAAGCAATGGCAGAAGTGAATCCAGCTCTGCTATTGTTTCAACAAAGGCACGCTGCCGAAATGTCAACCCATCTATATCTCCATTCTTCTGGTTTTTCTCCGGGGAATAAGGCTTTTACTATTATCTTATCGACACAAATGATCTATCACGAACTTATTTGGCTTTAGATCGGCCCTACACCCATTCTTGCGCACAGAATCTGATTCACGACACGATTTGGCGCGTGTTTGGCTTCAAAAGTGCTGTTTTATAATCAGGAGAATAGTTATTTTCCAACTTCGTGTTCTCCACTGTGAATGAGGTAATCCAGGGGTCGCCAGTTGGCCTCGAAGGATTAAACAGCATATCGTTGGTATTATCCATGACCGGTGCCTAAGACCAGACAAAGTTGGAATCCAGCATTTTACATTCGTCGGCATTTTCCTCTCCTGTGACTTCTCAGATAACACGATTGAGAGTGAGCAAGACCGTACCTACAAGAGGGTGGAGTCTCAGTAACTTACTGAAGCTACTGAAGAGTTACTGAATAATGTCGTGGAAATGAGTTCTGACTGCATCGACAGAGTTATCATTGGTCACAGTAGCATTGGTACATGATAAGTAGTACTTACAAGCTCTTTTCACACGAGCATTTTTAGACAGGGACCTAATTTGGCACCAAATCTAAATTACTCAAATGATAGGAGAGCAGGAATATAATCATGGTGTATCGTCAGTGCTATCAACATAGTCACAAATTTCCACTCCGGGTGGGTTTCGTTCTCATTATCGTTCACTTATTTATAATGTGACATTTGCGGCACCTCATTATTTAGTCCCGCGGAACGAAACTCAGACGTAAAATGATTAAATGGTACATGATAAAGAAACAAAACACCTCCACAGTTAAGCTGACCCGCTGTTTTCAATGCCCAGTAATATGGCATTAGTTTCGCACTTTGTTATCCCATCTTTCGTGTATTTTATAATTTGGTACCTGTGCAATGCAGCGTGAGAGGCTAGGTGCCCGTCGAATAATGATTCACCGGCTGCAGTTCAATAGCTTGTTCAATAAATTGAACTTCCACCCGTGAATCACCTACTAAGAATCCAATGGCTCCTGTTCTGTCGATATCAGTTGGGTGTTTTCAGAACATGGCATCGACAACATTGTCCCAAGTCTACATGAAATAGCTATGACTGACGCACTTTGCGCCCGTTTTCACCGCGCATGCCATGATTCGAAACTCTTGAACTGAAAAAAACTTTTGCAGAAATCGCAGCCAAAGTATAATCTAATAATAATTCGTATCACTCGGATGAATCAAAACGGAGCATGGGATTATCAACAGTTCATGTTAAAAAAGCAAGCCCATCCGGTTGGAATCTGGCAAATGCGCTGCTCTCACGATCTCACGATACAGCATCTGTACACATTTTTAGATAAAACAAGAAAACTTACCAATAAATCGTTTGTTAATTTCTGGTGGTTTCCATCAGCGCTTCCGCAGAACTCTTCGGTTCTTTGGGTTCAAACGATCCGTTGACTAAGGCAACGATACACCGTCATGGGCACAGCTGACAGCAGGGACGCAGAGACGATACGGAAAAAATCGTTAGTGATGCGTGTTTGTACCCTAGTGAACGCACTTCCATGGATGCAGTGCTTCTAATGCATGTGTACGCAACATGTTGTTTCCATGGAAACAGATATCAGCTTAGCTATCTTCGGATCAGACGTTTCTTTAGCTCATCGGCATGCCTTTGCCAGCACATTATTTTAGACCAAAGCAGTCAGAGAGCGCTATTATTATTTTATAGGCGGCATGAGCGTAACGAAACAATGGAAGACTCGGCAAAGCCAACATATCAGCTGACTTTTTCTCCTAAACAATGCTTGGTGATAGCGAGAGGAAAAGGAATGGCCCAACAACGACCGCTCAGACGATTCATTCCTTTGTGTTCAAAGCACAAGAACCTCAAGGCACTCCATGTGTACTCCAACGTAGAAAAACAAAGACCAAACGCTAATTCGCCTTGCGAAATTTCGCCTTTTGCTCCGAGGTCAAAATTGCGTCGTACGGTGCCAATGAACACAGTAGAAAACAGCGAGCTACGAGTCCTGTTCTTTTATTGACGCAACCACACAACTATCCAACAAATCACGGGGTTCGTGAGCTGTTCGCTACCGGATGACATCAACCTTGGGTCAGACCTGCACTAATCACACAGCTGGACGGTGGTTTAGAACGCGTGCCTCTTACAGAGCGTGCGTTATCGGCCTTGGGAGCCGATGAATGCCGCCTGCACTGCTTTCCATCGTCCCATTGCTCGCCCGAGGACCCCGTAGGTGCAGAACAGTCAAACGCCAGCAGGTCTCACCTGGTGGATGTGGTGATACACTGCGCCCCGTGTGGAGAATGTGATGCCAACTGCCCTTGGTCAGAATTGATCACCACATGACTGTGCACCTGCAACGTCTGCAAGATCCTGTAACTCTATCCATGGTCGCTAATAAGCGAGCAGATACTCAATCCCAGCGGATGCTGCCATTTTTCCGAGCCTTGTCTGCAGCGCGGACAACGGACCGCCGCTCCTGGTGACAGCGTGGGAAGGTAGACGGCACGGCTTGTTTTCTTCTTTCCACTTTTCTTTCCATCCTTGTGAGTTAATCGGATCACAGCGAGGGTGTGGCTCTTAAGAGTATCGTTTCAAGTTCAACGCACTCATAACAGCGCTGCATGCGGCGCAATGCATTAGTACCACGCATAACACGTCAAAGGAATGTTCCACCTTCGGGGCATATTTAAAAACCATACATTGGCGAAAACCCAGGACCAGCTACGTCCCATGATACCACTGTGTAGTGTCACTGCATCGCCAACAAGATGCAGTTGGGAAATTATATTTAATCATATTTTAGACTAAATCACGCCGTTAACGTTTTTTACCTGCACAGCACATCTGTCTTCTTTGTAGTCCCAGTATGAAGCTCCAACCTACGAGAGCTGACGACAGTCGCTAAGAGCCGTCGTCAGCTGTAACGGACTAGGTACCCCTAGGTAACGGACTAGGTACCACTTTTGAGTTGCTTTAAGCCGCACGCCGCTGAATGGCGGGCTTAGAAGTTGCACCTCCACTGACATAGTCGGAGGAGTGTCCCTGTGTGTGTGTGTGTGTGGGGGGGAAATACTAATGTGAAGGTGATTCCTTCCATGCGTCGTCATAGGTTAGCTCTTTCTATGCGTCGTACTCAGCATTCTCGGAAAGTGAGGGTGTCTGGACACCTACGGAGCTCGTCGTTCCTACGCCTGTGTTTCCTGGTATCAATCACATCAGCGCCAATTAACGTTTGTGATTGTCACAGCGGGCGGCGCTAGTAATTCGCTGAGGAGCGCATTGATTGAAGTTTGAACCAATGTGCTACTATTGCCCATGTAATGGGTCAGGTTCCCGAAGTCGAAGCGCGCTTCGGAAAGAGCCACTCCGCTGAACAGCATTAGTGAGAAGTGAAAGCCACAGTGCGATATTTCGTTGAGTATGCGTGATAACTGCCCCACATCCGTTTACCTTTTCCCTAAATAGAGTGTTCCCAGCTCTCGTAGCACATATTGCGCAAACATCACGGGATTGCAAACATTGCGGAGCAAAGACGTTGGAAAGAACAACCCAAATGAAGCGTGTTGTTTTCGTGGTGATGAGCGGGAAGTTCAGTCAAATTTCTCCCGTCAGAGTGGCTTCTTCAAATACTTCAAATAGAAATTCTGAGCTATTCATGTTCTGAGCATTCTGAGCAATTTGTCACCACCGCGCCACGTTGGACTCATGGCCGGGCATCTGGTGGCTGATGCGCGATGTTTCGCTTCCGCGTGCCACTTCTTCCAGCTTGATCTTCACAAACCTCCGCTGTTTTATTTTCGGTATAACCCACTGGCACGAACCATTGTTTCAACGTGTGTGTCGACGAGTAGGCTCTATTGAGCATAACTAAGCGCATAATCATCAGAGACCAACAGCACAAAACACGTGCTTAATTCGTACTATGGGTAATGGCAGGAGGATTTTTTTCCAAGTGACAGCGAGGGAAATTGACAGGCAGGAAAAATCCACAGGCATTTGCAAAAATGTCACAAGCCATGTATCTAGTTAAATGCAGCACACTATTTCACATACTCCACAAATATCTGCTATGCTCTTCTGATCTTCATGACACTCTGTGGCTTAATTAAATTAAAACACCATTTCAGTGCACCTTCTGTGTGGGTTCGGGTGTCTTCGGGTTCTGGTATCTTTGGCGTCATTCGCCAAGTCTCCTGCTGATCTCGGCGTATCTCAGGTGCCTCCTGTTCCCTTTCAAGCTCAAAGTGCGACAAACACGAAGTCACTGTTCATTTTGTATCAGCAAAAGATCATTACGAAAGCGTCAGTTGTCACCATCTAAAATTCGGCGTCTTACCGGCGTTTTGCTACTTCCGCTGTTTATAAAAATACTGACCGTGTGTATGTCTGCCTGCAAAATAAAAGGCACACGCAATGCAAGGACAATCAAGACGCATGTCAACAGTTGGAAATGCTGTCCATCGCCAGAGCTAGCAGTCTCAAAACCTTTGCATTGGTGTCCGGGCCGTGTCCGCGGCAGCGCAACGCATCATATCGTGCCAGTCGTCAACACCGGGATATCCGCAGGAACAGAGTCATAGTCCGGAACGGAAATGGGAGTTTGGTGTCAGACCCCTCACCACCCGCGGACTCTCGGGGCGCTAAACAGTGAGCCCCTTGGAGGGTCACAACACATGCTGTAGCGATATGTGGTCTCCAAAAGCTTGCCCCGGTGGCTGTGTACCGCGGGAGCTTGGGTTTACACCAAGCTTTCCGGCGTGAACGTTTTCACCATGCGGCACGTCCTACAAATTGTATCTATATAAACAATGCATTGCACTGCCAACGGAAAGACAAAAACTCAGATCTGTTGTCCACCGCCCAGTAAAAACACGCACGGATGACAGAAACGCGCGCCTGGACGAGTAAAGACCGTTGCAGGTTCAGATTCAAGACAGACGTAGGAAGTCGGCGTCAACTGGTGCGTGATGATTAAGTCAGGCTATCGTTATCGTCAACGATTGCAGAGATCCGCATGTATCACAGAAAATGTCCACCTGCCTTACACATGACAAGATCACCAACATCCAGCGCCGTCACCGTAAAAACGAATGCTTCAAGATATACACACACCGTCCACCTTTTCTTCTCCTGACCTTCATCTCCCTCCATCGCGTCACATATTACATATATGCACAAAGTCACATATACACGATACAAAGTATGGGGCTAAGCGATAAGCCGGCGTGAGGACCCAATGCGTGACAATGGGGAACCGCTCAGCGTTACCAAGGCATGGTCAACGTCCTGCCAAAAATACGCGGCGCCCACTCCGCTGACGTCACTGATACAGTGGAGCACCAGGCCAATAGGCGGCGCCCACTCCGGTGACGTCACTGATACAGTGGAGCACCAGGCCACGCCACCTCAAAACGCTGCCTTCGGCGCCAGTCTCCGCAAGATGTCGGCACCGTCTCGACGCCCAGTGGACCAGTCTGGCATGATTTCTCAGCCGCGAGCCTCACACGCCCACACTGGCAGCAGATCAAAAGAGATTCCCCGACCACGACCGTTCCAACACGCTCTCGCCACCGACCAATCGAGCTGAGCCCCCACAATCTTCAGCCAATCGCTCGCGAGCCGCCCGCCGCGGCGGCCAATCCGCCAGCGCCGCGGATTGCGCAACAGCCGCGCCCGGCCGTGCGATTGGTCGGTGCGCCGCCGCCCCGCCAATCATAGGTCGGTGCGGCGGTCGAAGTTGATATTCTGCTCGGCGCAGAAGTCTCGCGTCAGCGGCAGGCAGTTGAGATACTCACAAACGGGACACTCGTAGAAGGGCGTCACGTAGAAGAGCACGAGCAGGAAGAGCACCAGCAACGTCACGGTGGTGACGCAAACTGCGATCAGCACCTTCTTGCGCGCCCGGTCATAAGGGCCGAAGCTGACGTACGGCAGTAGCGCGTACGACAGCAGGAAGCCGACGATGAAGCCGAAGATGTGCGCGTAATTGTCCACCTGTCGCATGGCATGTGAGTGAGAATATCGACAACAACAAACTGGAACAGGCATATCACGGTAAGACACTTACCCGCCGTAAAGTCTTTGGGAATGAGGCCATCCCAGATTTATCTGCTCCCTGAACGTAGAAAGAAGACAAGAAACCGTTACTCCAAAATACGATATATACTACGCACTCGATGCGTGGCGTCGTCTACGTAGGCTTTTCAAGTAACTCAGTCTGGAGCAAAACTGAACTGAACGAGACAAGAATAAGCTGAACAGAAACAAACAAGCCCCAGCGGGCAATGGCGTGGGCAGAATGTTTCATACAGCGAATATGACGACCTACGCTGGACCAATAGCGCTTGTTACATGCGTGGCCTCGAAAAAATAAGCATGATAGTAGACATGACGGGGGTGATACGCAGAACCCGATAACGACGCTGCGCTGGCGAGGTGAGTGCAGCTTAACCACTGCGTTCCGAGCGACAACGCAGACGCAGAATGTCAAGAATGTGGCCGAGAAGGGTCGGCATGCAAATGTGGAGGCATATAGGGGCGATGATCATGACAAGCGTTGAACTCTTTTTTGTCCGCAGTTGGACAGAGCTGACACTGCGAGCTGGCAGAGGAAAGAACTCGTTTCCTTAGGAGGTGGCCGTAACTCAGCGTCGCCGCTCGCATCAGCTACGCCTCTCACATCAGCTTATAGGCTGGGCAAGCCCTTAGGTCCCGGGTGAATTGGGTTTGGTTGAGAACAAATTTTGGGTAATTTGGGGTATGAGCACAGGTGTAGATACGACGTTTGCGTATGATAATAAGCTTTGTTTTAAATGTTCCTGCAACTTTTCATGATTTCGCGCTTTATCCTGGAAAATACAAGCCAGTGGGTGACGGCTGGGAGAGCTGATTAAGAATGGGTAGAAGCTGGGTGTGGACGCATCCCCGTGGGTAGTGGGCGAACTGAGTATACGAAATATTACCCTTGCTCTTTTGCTCTTATGCATATATATATATAGATATGTGTGTGTGTGTGTGTGTGTGTGTGTGTGTGTGTGTGTGGTGTGTGTGTGTGTGTGTGTGTGTGTGTGTGTGTGTGTGTGTGTGTGTGTGTGTGTGTGTGTGTGTGTGTGTGTGTGTGTGGGTGTGTGTGTGTGTGTGTGTGTGTGTTCTCATGTGCTATTCCCCAGAAATTCATTCATTCCCCACTGACGCCAAGTGAGTTGTGAGCATCGACATCTCGCATGCCCCACATCACCCGCTCCGTTGTCAGTGGGGCCTTAAACTGACTCTGCCCTAAAGAAGCGCTTCAGTTGGAAAGACAGCCGTTAGAAAGAGGACCTCACTAAGAAAGGACTCCATACAACGTCGCCAGATTTGAACCATGCTGCCGTCAAAGGAAGAGAAAATCACACCCAGGACAGCAAAATCGAGAGCCAACAACTGACACTGCGTAGGGCGCTGGTAGCAAGACATCCCCACCAGTCGCTTCACGCCGACTCCACCAGCAGCGCCGCCGGGCGGACCCCGAGCCCAGCGAGGCCGGCGACCGGCCCGCGGGCTCACCCAGGGCAGCAGGCCGACGACGAAGAGAAGCAGTGTGAGTCCGACCAGCCGCAGCAGGGCCCGCCACGGCTTCAGCAGCAGCGGCCACACGTTGATCACCTCGACGAAGTGGCAGGCTAGCAGGCCGAACTGGGATCCGGCAGGCCCCACCTGCGGAGGCGGACCGGGCGCGCTTGGTGGCCTGATGATCACGTGACACTCGGGTCCAGGCGGAAGCTCCAAATCAAGCAATGCCCGTGCATTGGCTAGTCGCAACACCGCATTCCTCGTCAATAAGCATGGCACAAATGATGATTATGTAATCGTGGCGTTGTGAGTCATGCAACGCTGCCTTCTCTTCCAGTCACCATAATGCAATTGTCGTTTTCCAATTGCGAAGGTTATGTAACAGCTGCACTGCTTGATTACGTAATGAGCTATGACCTATCCGCTGATCGGGATTTCCGATGTCCGATTGAAGGTGAAATCAACAGGCGGCTCCTTGGTAAGCCTCACAGCACAAAGTACCGCGCTTATGTACTCGCCAAGTATCGAATGATTAAAGGAACAAGCCAGGTTTACCGAACTCTTTGTGCTTCTCGGAAAGCTTATGGGCATCTTTCCTCGACGCCTTCCCCAGAATGCTCATGTGCTCGCGTTAAAAAGGCAAACGAAGTAGTTGCCCCGCCTCGCCTCGCCAAATCCCCTTCCAATTACTAGACCCGCTTTTCTATCCGGATGTACATCCCCAGCTCCGACACTCGCCTTCTGACCATAGCGTAGTGCATCCCCTCAGCCCCCACACCCGGCTTCTGACCTCATTGTGGTATATCCCCTCAGCTCCCACATCCGCCGTTTGACCTCATTGTAGAACACCCCACAGCCCCCACGCCGGTCTTCTGACCACAGCGTAGTGCATCCCCTCAGCCCCACACCCGCCTTCTGACCATAGCGTAGTGCATACCCTCAGCCCCCACACCCAGCTTCTGACCTCATTGTGGTGTATCCCCTCAGCTCCCACATCCGCCGTCTGACCTCATTGTAGTACATCCCCTCACCTCCTGCACCCGCCTTCTGACCTCAACATATTTCATCTCCTCAGCCCCCACACCCACCTTTTAACCTCATTGTGGTACATCCACTCAGCTTCACATCCGCTGTCTGACCTCATTGTAGTACATCCCCTCCCCTCCCGCACCCTCCTTCTGACCTCATAATAGAACATCCCTCGGCCCCCACACCCGCCTTCTGAACGCAGCGTGGTGCATCCCCTCACCTTCCACATCCGCCTTCTGACCACAACGCAGCACATCCCCTCACCTTCCACATCCGCCGTCTGACCTCATTGTAGAGCATCTCACCTTCCACACCCGCTTTCTGACCTCAGCGTAGTACATGCCCACCTCCCACACTCGCTTGCTCACCTCAGCCCGGTAGGGCACGAAGATGGAGGAGGCGAGGTTGCCGGCCATGCCCGAGATGATGTAGATGATGGCCACACGTGAGGCACCCGCCATCTTCTCCAGATCTCGCAGGAAGAGGAACTGAATGACCACCGTCAGTAGCAGGTGGACGATGCTGCAGAGGGTAGCGGTTGGTCAGTGGGACAGAGGCTCTGGCCGGATCCTCTGGGGCGGGGCCAAATCCGGCCGGGTATGGCTTAGAGCAATCCCGAGTCGAATATTGGAAACGGGAGGAGATGCAGCTTTAGAATCAGTTGAAAGAAATGGCGTAAAGAACCAGCGGAAGCTGATTGACATGCAATGCCATGTTTCCTGATCAGGGACATCTAATCGAAGACACGGAAGCGACGATAAAAAAACGTCAGTTTGTTCTTATTGCTCTGTTGTTATCATTGGAAATGACGCACAGCCCGACGGTTCACTTCAGAGAACTTGACAAAATGCGTTGAATTCGAAAGCCCTTCAGTACGCCTGGAGGACTGAAGAGCCTCGCCTATTGGCGGGCTGCGGCCAGTTCACTGTCCCTGACCAGCTGCTAGCTGAGAGCTGCTTCAGAATCCAGCTCCGTAGACGGCGTCAGACAGGTCACAGAGCTGACCTCGCCCGGCCATGACCCTGGACCCAAGGTCACTGACCCGGCGTGGAGGAACAGCGCCGTCCAGAGTCGGTAAAACTGATCAGGCGTCTCACGATCGTAGAACGGGATCATGCCGCACACGTCATCTAGGCACGACACCTGGCAGCGACATGTGACGTCATCAGACCCCTGCTTAAGATCACAATGACATGGTCATGGCGGCATGGCGGCAACGTATTGCACACATGGGGCATAATTATGATATCCTTACGTTATGCACGTAGCTGCACAATCGCCAGCGCTTAAAGGCAATATTGCAGCTGGTATTATATAATGTTATTGCCTGGCGATTTTTCAGAAGATCGCTACCAGTATTTACCGCACGGTCGTGGTCGATCGAAGCGATTGCATTAAGGCATGCGAAACTGTGACAACACCGTTCAACCCTGCGGGTGCGCAACAGCACACCAGCCGGCCGTAGTCACAGCACAGTCTCCGCCTCGACCGACCTGCGCGCACAGGGCGGCCTCCTCGTGGAAGTAGCCTCGTACGAAGTTGCAGTACTCGCGTGTGGTGATTTGACACTGGCCGTGGATGCCGACGCAGCAGGGGTGGCCGACTACCTCGCATCGCATGTGCTCCGCGGCCTGACTGCCCTCTGTCGAAAGAAATACACACTAGTCGTATGGACTTACTCCCTAGATGGCAACCAAGGCGAAGGGATTGATTGCGTTACTGGGCCAAGATTATCGCGCATTTTGTCAACTCCTGAATTGTAGTCGTTTCAATCGCAGGATGTGGTCATAAGGAAACAAGCTTTGCTGGTACCTGGTATCGATTTGCCTTTCACCTGACGGGGGTGCGAGAGGTCACTGACCGCAACCAAGAGAGGTCACCGACACCATTCATAGAGGTCACTGACCGGGAGCGACGGAGGTTTTCCGGCAGATGGGCCACTGAGTAATGTCGTCGGGCCATTCGTGCGGCGCTCGGCTGGCCGGCTCAGCGCAAAAGCTGTGGGCACGTGGCAAACAGAGGTCAACGCCCCACGAGCACGTCTGGAGGCATCTGGCAAACGCGCATAATGACAGCCACGGCCGGCGCCGGGAAAATTACAGCCACCACACGACATGAAAATCGATACCAGCCGTCAAGGTGCCAGAGGGGCTGCTTTCTACTGACTTACTTACTGTGCGCTGCCATATGTAGGCTTCAAGCATTCACAGCTGGTTTTAAATGTAAATCACTAGCACAGCAATTCACCGCTAAGGAAAGGGAACGCGTGGAGTGAAACATCAGCTTACATATCATAAAAGCAGCCAGTGGGAAGTGCGGAGCCTTCCACAGAGCTCCTGCTATTACCTGATGATAGGCTCCAGAGAACGTGGATTTGTTTCGGCCACAGCCATTCTCTCGCGCGCCTCTTCCATATCAGGACAGAACAGCACTATAACATCCCTGACTGCGCCAAAACCCCGCATACGCCCAGGCCCACCGACTGAGGACTCTGCGGCGTCGTGCTTACTGGGGGTCCAGGCCACAGACGGGGCCCGAGAGACGTCCGTCCGGGCCCCGGCCGCGCTCGCTCCACTTGCGCCACGTGCTGATGGTGGTCTGCAAGGCCAGGCGAGGGCGGGTCAGAAGGGGGTCGCGGTGTGGGCAGGGCCGGTGGCCGGGCCGGCAGCGCTGCCGATCGCGGGGTGTACAGGGGTCGCAGCGCGCAGGTTCAGCTCTGTGAGTGTCCATTGTTTACTGTTCCTAGCACGTCTGTCCGTAGAGTACAGCAGAGCCACTCGCTCTACAGACACCTATACTTTTGACGTTACATTGAACGCGTCCGGTTATCAGAACACGAAAAGTTGTAACACGTCATTAGTGGTTGTGATGGTGATCTGGTTGGAGAGTGGCTACGAATACTACAACTATCCCATTATGTTGAAGGCAATACAGGGCGGTTATTTCACGCAGTGTCTTGCAAACACAAGCACTATATATACAGCATCAAGAAAGAAGTATACATGCCGTTTATGAAACCCACGCAAAGAAAGCAAAGCCGATATGAATGGAGGAAAAGGAAAATCTTCGGAAGGAGCAAATTGACGCGGAGAAAGGAAAGGGAACGAGATGCCTCAATCATGGTAAACCAGGGAGAGAGCGAGAGAGAGAGGGAGAGAGAGAGAGAGAGAGAGAGAGAGAGAGAGAGAGAGAGGAGAGAGAGAGAGAGAGAGAGAGAGAGAGAGAGAGAGAGGAGAGAGGAGAGGAGAGAGAGAGGAGAGAGGGAGAGAGAGAGGAGAGAGAGAGAGAGGAGGAGAGAGAGAGAGAGAGGAGAGAGAGAGAGAGAGAGAGAGAGAGAGAGAGAGAGAGAGAGAGAGAGAGAGAAGAGAGAGAGAGAGATAGAGAGAGAGAGAGAGAGAGAGAGAGGGAGAAAGCGAAAAAGGTCGGAGGGGGATACACCCTATATGCTAGTGGGAAATCAACAACGCAGCCATCCAGCCCTTACTCAAACAGTGATTAACTGATTGAGATCACACCGAGCTCACACGGGTAAGCAAACTGCGGATTATAAAAAAACGATGATTGCCCACTTTGTTTCAGACTGAGCACGTCGAATGGACTCTCCGCATGCAGCTCCGTTCCGAAATCCTCCCTCTGCTTGCCATCTCACACACATGCTTGTACAGATTTGGAAATCAGCCCGTTGTCCGTCTGGGCAAGCTGTTTCGCATCCTGGTGCATCGGTTCCCTACCCATAAGCCCTGTTATCTTGACACAGGCGAAGACACGCTACCGCAAGCCCAACGACGAAGCATTACATATCTACCAAATGGTTGCCTTTTCGGCTTTGTCATCAGCGACGGTTGAAAGCCCCCGCTGTACCAAGAAGAAACAAAGCTGGTATCTCGCATAGAAAAGTGATGGTTCGTTGTCTTGACGTTCATTTGGTATACGGGCTTCAAAGCCATCTGGCGAACGTAAACCGTCGAGTGCGCCACAAAATGCCCCGTCCGCCGCAGACTATTTGAATTTATCAGCTCCCAAACATCCGCACCAGGCCACATGTAGCTGGCAAGCAAAATCCATGAGTGATACAGAAAATTGAGGGTTCCCCCAGTCAGTTACATTGCTCTTTGCCGGTCTTTCCATTGGTTTCAAACCCAGCGCATTCGTAAGCAATGGGATGAAACGCATCTCTCTCCGCACTGGCCAATCAGCAACTTTACTGCAAAATGTAATGAAAATACACTGCTATCAAACGTTATTTTGAGCATGTAAGTGTTAGTTAATTTGAAGTCATTACGCTGCATATCGCTTTGCCCCTTTGGGACGTTACCAAAAAATTGCGGAACTACCTCAGATTACAGCATTATGGAAGGATTGAAACGAGGCATTTGTATCACGGATGGAGGAATTGTTCAGGCTACCGACCTCGAGGTGTATTAGTATGTACAAACCGTTTCGAGCAATTAACTCTCCATACATAGCTCAAAGCCAAACATCATTTGGTCTTTCTCAGGACTCCATAATACGTTACGACGGCGGGAGAGTTAACTCGCCGAAACGATGTTCGCATACTAACACAGCAGACGGTGACGAGAGTCGAACAATTATTTCATCCTTAATACTTCAGATTACACTGCATGTGTAAAATGAATGTGCTACTAAACAAACACTATAGGAAAAATAAAGAACGAAACATATCTGATGTCAATATAACTGCGTCAGCTCGCAAAAACAACCGCAAGTCAATTCACCATTGCGCATTGCTCAATGTAGTACAAGCGCAATACACAAACTGACTAACATGCTTATACCCTGCATACAGAAAACTCTGGGGACCTAGATAATTGAATCGTTGGACAAAAATCAAGCGCCACACATACAAGACGTAAACGAACAAGCATTTCGCTGAAATCGCATTAATGGACAGCGCAAAGCAATTACAGTTGCAAAGAACACGTACCGGGTCTTTAAATCCTGCTGTTTGCTGCTGCGCGTGGACATTAACAAAAGCACGTCAATTACAGGCGCTCAGCAATACGTCGTCCACAGTTCGCACGGCGAATCATCACCTCCGAAACAGTCTTCAGACACTCGAGGCACAGGCAGAAGTGCGCCGAGTCAGGTTAGGATAAGCTCCTGCTCGTAGGCATTTCAATATCGGACGCAGTACATATACCCTACAGTCCTAACAGACATATCAAATTAGTCGACAAAAAAGACAGGCAACACAGGTTTAATGAAAAAGGAGACAACATATCGTGCAACCAAACGAAATACTGCCAGCTAAAAACGTGTTGTATGCATGCGTTATGTATGTACCTCGTCATCGAAAAACGCACGGGGAACAAACACGTCACCAAATCTCGACCTGATCTGAGTACATTTCTGTCCCTCCCGGTCTCTGGGTGAAATGAAGTGTAAAGGGGTGATTGCGTGAATACATGCACAATATGTGGTTTGTTGAATTAGAATGCAGGCATTTAGCTTTTCCTAGAACTGGCAACACAAACTTATTCTGAGCCTGTCTGAAATATTCCAGAAGAGCCAGTCACACGGCAATTGCAGCTGACGTACATTCTTTCTAACCAAGTGGTAACATACTACCTCGGAATCGTATTTTAGGCAAAAACACACACAAATGCTTCTTAGCACGCGCCCGGGTGGCTGGCTGAATACTCTTCGCCCTGGTGGGGGGAGGGGAGGGGGGGTAATTTGGTCTCGCTGAAATCCCAGGAGCTAAGAGAGCTAAAAAGCAACGAATTTACGGGGTGTGTTGGCCTGTACGTGAATTCATTAACATAAGAGTTTGATGTTCCTAGGTCGTTGCGTTCGGGTCAAATAAGGTTAAACAAGGTCGAACTCCAGGTTGGTCTCTAAGGCATCCCAGAAACTCGATACCTCTGTGCTAAGCAAAAGGTCACATACTAAGTTAAGGTCGGTGACCTTGCTTGACCTTTCGAAGGTCATGGCGATCAAAATCGTACAAGACTGCTTTGGATTTTGTATTTGAATAAGCGACAGAGAATACGATAGGCAGTATGTTCCTAGAAACAAAATGTTGACGTGGGTCACTTTAGGTCAGTGACCTATTCTGACATCTTACAAATCTCTGAAAGATGTCTAATGCGGTTCCTATAATCAATAAATATAAAATGGCACCAAAAATCAGCAGCAAAAAATTGTTCATTCAAGTCTTGCGTTGCCTAGGAAAGTATCTCAGAGATTTCTGGCTTCGTTTAACACTCCGTTGTTAGCGCAGTTTGAACAAATCCCTAGAATTTGACCTCTCTGAATCCATTGGCTGACTTTGACCCGCGGTAGGTCAGCAACCTTACAAGATATAACTGAATATTTAATGTCAAATGATCCGATATTCAGTTGTCCACATCTACACAAAACTTGGCGTGCCTATTTCGCGCCATTCTGAAGCCATTCCGGAAAACTTTGGGGGGTCAAATTGAGCGCACCCGAGCGCGTGTTAAGCTAGTAACACCTTTTGGAATCCCGAATATTGTGTGGAACGAAGCAATTTTATGCTTTGGGTCCTTGACCTGAGATTAATCAACCTCCAAAATTTCGGGAGGTTGTGGTTAAACCACGTTATCAAGCACACACAGGTCATGTCGTCAAACCTCGACACTTTAAGCTGTGCTCATGGTGTCTCGTTACCACGGCCACAACTTGAAACATCAAATTTTTCAGAATATAACCAGTGTGTGCTCGATAACGTTGATGAAGGTTGATTATTGTCCGCACAAGGTCTCCAAACTGAGAATGCCGAAGACGCTCAAGGCCTTTCTTGCTTATATCAAGTGAAACAAAAGAACATATATTGCTTGATGGCTTGCAAACACGTGAAAACGGCGTATACGTGGGAATGCGTCTTTTCTGCCGACAGTTTTCTCTAGGAATTTCTCCCAATTTTGCTTCAAATCAGCTCCAGCGACTCAAATGGTAGTCAGCCACTTTCCTAAACGCGAGAGACTAGAGGACGGTCAGTGCCATCTAACTCGCCGTTTCACTAACGGCCTGCCACACCAGATTAATACATGAATTAGTGACAAAATCGCAAGCTGTCATAACGTACAATAATCATACCACTGTCCCACCAGAGACAACAGTCGTTTCTACATCCGTTAGAAAAGCTGACCCGCTCCCGGTATGCACCCCACAGTTTATAAGCGCAAAACAAGGGAAACCAAATGTTCCAACTAAACAGAACTTGATGATGAAGCTAGGAGACAACGGTAATACGTGAAAAACAGCGAAATCAAGCGCGAGACGCACATAATCGAGAGTTTACAGACAAATGGTCAGCCTTGCGCATGTACCCCGTTTGGACTGGGCCTCCTCCCTCCCCCCCCCCCCCCCGACACTCTACCTACATGGCACACCCAGCCACACGCTTCTCTCCTTCGACCCCTGACTTCAGTCCCCTCCCCCCGCGTCGAGCACGTCCGACTCCCTCTCACAAGCACGCCTGACTCCGCCCCTGCCGGTCCCCCCCCCCGGCGGCGTGGCTGGCGGCGCCTCTGGCCACTCACGCTGCAGCCGGCGCGCGCCGCCTGCACGCAGCCGCTGTTGTCGTTGCGGATGCAGCAGGCCGTGTCGCGCTCACGCCGCCGCTGCTCCGAGATCTCGCGCTCGATCCGCTCGTCGCGCCGCATGCACGGCGCGAATTTGGCACCCAGGTGGATCAGGTCCGCCTGCCGACACCGTTGTGCTGTGCTGTGTCGTCCAGACATACATACATACACACTCCGCCTGCGCGGTTCCTTCCCCTCTTCTCCTGCTAGCAAAAAACAGCAGTACAGCGATGGAACCAGGGAAGGAGTCACATGGTTGGTGACGTCACTGATACACAACACAAGCACTCTTTGCTCACTAGGACTTCAGTTGGTTGCATCTTTCCGGTCGAAAGGCTTGCTCAGAGCAAGCATCAGCCAACGTGATCAGCTGGCCGGGCTGTGATCATGGTGTATTGGGCATTGGACATATTGAACACTGAACACCACCAGTGTTCCCAAACGGAATCAGGTCAGGTCAGGCACGGCGCATATTGGCCGCCCATGGAAATCAGGTCGGGCTGCAGGGGTGGTGTCGACCGAGGTCGGTGGGAAGAGGAGACAGGATGGCGGCAGAGCCCTGGGTAGCGCGAGCGGTCAAGGCTAGTCGGGGAATCAGGGGAGATGGAGGAGAGAGGCAGGAAGAGGGAAGTCAGTCATGTCCAGCTCGTCCCCCGCCCAGACCCGCGTGCATGGGGCGGGAGCGGGCGGGGGCGGGTCGGTCAAGCCAGGAGCGGGAGGTCTGAGCAAGACAGCATGGGACACGAAAGTGCTCGCACTTGGGAAAGACAGAACAGGTCCACAAGCTGCCATTAGAAGACAACACATTACCAATACATCTCTTGGAACATCTCCCTGTACATCCACAGGGACCCACGAAGATCATTGTAGCGGAAATCCAGCAGCACGCAGCGTTTCCAAACCACGCTTTAATTGTAGGGCCCATCTCACTGACCAACGAGGGCAAAGACTTGAGACTCCATAAAGTCAAATTTAGAGCGATCCCCATAACCAAATAATCGTCCACAACCGACCGACAATGTCCGGCACTATCAAGACTGCGTTACAATGCCGGTGCGTTCAGCGCGTGTCCAGCCCGGCGGCCGCGAGACCACTCACCGCTCGGGGCCCGAGCCAGAGGTTCGGCGGCTCCCAGTAATCCACTTGCTGTAATGAAAGACTTATGTCCAGCACCTGAAGCGAAGGACAGCACGTTGCGAAAGCCATTGCAATCATGCGAGATTCGTCGTGTACGCCTTCCCATCTCGCACAAAACACATATACTGGGATGGATGTTCTTCCTATGCGAGTACGCTTCCTCTGTCTCTGTCTCTGTCTCTGTCTCTGTCTCTTGTCGTCTGTCTCTGTCTCTGTCTCTGTCTCTGTCTCTGTCTCTGTCTCTGTCTCCTGTCTCTGTCCTTGTCTCTGTCTCTGTCTCTGTTCTGTCTCTGTCTCTGTCTCTGTCTCTGTCTCTGTCTCTGTCTCTGTCTCTGTCTCTGTCTCTGTCTCTGTCTCTGTCTCTGTCTCTGTCTCTGTCTATGTCTCTTGTCTCTGTCTCTGTCTCTGTCTCTGTCTCTGTCTCTGTCTCTGTCTCTGTCTCTGTCTCTGTCTCTGTCTCTGTCTCTGTCTCTGTCTCTGTCTCTGTCTCTGTCTCTGTCTCTGTCTCTGTCTCTGTCTCTGTCTCTGTCTCTGTCTCTGTCTCTGTCTCTGTCTCTGTCTCTGTCTCTGACTCTGTCTCTGTCTCTGTCTCTGTCTCTGTCTCTGTCTCTGTCTCTGTCTCTGTCTCTGTCTCTGTCTCTGTCTCTGTCTCTGTCTCTGCTCCTCTCTCTCTCTCTCTCTCTCTCTCTCTCTCTCTCTCTCTCTCTCTCTCTCTCTCTCTCTCTCTCTCTCTCTCTCTCTTCTCTCTCTCTCTCTCTCTCTCTCTCTCTCTCTCTCTCTCTCTCTCTCTCTCTCTCCCTCAAACTCTCCCCCTCTCTCTCTCTCTCTCTCCCTCGGAAGTGGGCCTTCTGTACCTTCAATTGACCTAAAAGAGAGGCGATAGTTCATAGCCGACATACGCAGTCAGTCAGCATGAGCTGCGGGATGGCTCACCGCCAGTGTTTCGCAGAACATTGGAAAAGTGCAGGGCGCAAACCGTCCTCGATGTATGTCTTCATTACGCGGCAGGAGCCTTGCAAATGCCGGAGCTATTACATTTACATCGCATACGGGCTGGGAAGACTCCATACATTCTCTTGAGCTTTAGCTGAACACGGCCCGGGCTGAGCCCAGCTAGTGACGTCGTCCGGTGTTTTCTATGAGGCTCGCTCACGGACCAAGTCTCAGCAATCCTCCCGCCGCTGGAGCAGCATCAAGTAACAATGCGGGATTCCCAGCGAGCCGATAATATCACGACGTAGCCATCTCTTGCCAGCTTGGCAACGGCTGGGGCCAAGCTAGCCGTTGCCAAGCACCGCCAGACACCGTCGGTGGGAACGGGGCCGGCGCACTTCGTGCATGGCTGGTTTGTGTAATGGATTTATTATACTAGATTTGTGTGATCCGTTTGGTGCTTAATAGAATTGATCGGCCCATTGGTTTACTTATGCACCAGGCATTTGGTTACCAAAATAAATAGCCTGTAATACGTTAAACTAACAATCAAGCAGGCGGCGTTCACGGTCAGTTAGGTGAACATCAGTGGGCACTGAGTGCGAATAAATTGTTTGATATTTGGATGTTGGCAGCGGGTCATTTCTGTCATATACGTTATCTCACAGCTCATGTTACCCCCCCCCCCCCTCTCTCTCCCCTTAGGAGGCGGTTTGCCTTCGGCCAAGGATGCATCCTCACTCCCAGCTCCCACACTTCTCACTCCCAGCTCCAGTGCTTCGCACCTTCCTGCAGCGGTATGGCCTGCGACAGTGCATCCGGTCGATCCTCTGCCCCCCCCCCCCCCCCCAGTCCTCCAGACCTCCTGACCCTTTAATTGTCCGGTTAATTGCCCGGTAGCCATGTCCGACCACTGATTGCTAATCCTTCAATATCAGGTCTTTAATCTTCCGTTATCCCGTCTCGTGCAGTCCTTCGACCTTCCTGCAGTCCTTGCAGACCTTCCTGCAGTTCCGTGCAGTCCTTCGACCTTCCTACCTTCCAGCCCCCCAATGCTGTGGTCTCATCTATCCTTCCACCCTCCAACCTCGGACCTCCCATTCTGCTAGCCTCCAGCCTCCAAATCACTATCACCATCATAAACTCAATCATTAAGGGCTCCCAATCCTCAATAATGCAATCTCTTTCAACCCTCCACCCTGAACTATTCCACCCTCCGACCACACACGTTTGAACCTTCCGACCCCCGACCCTTCCGCCCCGTCCTCCGGTCCCTTCTCTCCCGCCCTCCACGGCTCCGGTTCTCACCCTGCCGCTCTGCTGCTGTAGCTCGTAGCCAACTGGCCCGAAGCCATAGCACGCCAGTGATATGACCATGATGAGGACCTGCACACTGGTGACCCAGTAGGTGAAGTAGGGACGGTGGTCCTCCAGGTCATCCAGCTGCGACGCCACATCCGCGCGCGACGCCAGAGAGCGCCGCCACGTGCGACCCCTGCCGGCGCAACACGGTCAGGCACCCTGGTGGTGACAAGGGTATGCAGGGGGAAGGCGGATTGCCACTGGGCGGCGCCACCTGCAATATTTGCGGATGAAACCCTGGAACTAGCTTTGACACAACACGCTTTATGTGCGCAGATTGAGTGTTTTTGACACGTGCGGGGACCACGTGAACTTCATGGCATATGCGTGGATTCTAAGGTAAAGTTACGTTTCAACAGAAAACTTGAAGAATCCCACGGCGCCTCAGTGTCCAGGGGTGCAGTTTCACAAAACCAGGTAGGAGATGAGCACGGGCTCCAACTGAATAGGAAAATACTCCTCTGAGCGTGCATCGCATACGCACACGCACAGACCCAAAGCACTAGACACGCACAACGTTTGGTGTTTCTGCTCTTCACATCTTTCAATTTCCAAAACACATAAACGCATAATCTCGAAATGCCAGATCGCGGCTGAGATGCGATCCCGGTCACTCCCGGTCACGGAGCCACGCTCCACCCACTGCACCACGCACCCGAACACGCGGGCTGCCAGGCCGCGGCCGTACTGGCGCCGGTTGCTGTTGTCGAAGACGCGGTCCAGCAGCCGAGCCCAGATGCGCCGACGCCCCACGCCCGGCCCGCTGTCCGGCACGTCCTGCTCCGGCGGCGGGCGCCGCCACTGCGCGCTGCCGCAAACGGGCCGGACGGTCACCGGCGGCGCTAGCCCTGGTCAAACGGTCACCGGCGGCGCTAGCCCAGTGGTCAAACGCGCTGGGCTCGGGCGGAAAGGATAGGGGCTCGATTCCCGCCAGGGGAAGTGTTTGCTGGTGACCTACCAGCTGTGAGTACCTAGAAATAAATGAGCAATCAGGGAGCTGGGTGCCACAACGCACACTGCGAGAGATGAAGCCGAGTAACGTTGGCAGCAAAGACACTTAGACAGCGTTAGCAACTTAGAACCTGAACAAACAACAGATATCATTTATCAGTGTCATCAATCAATCGACCTTGAAATCAATCAATCATCAATCGATCAAATCATTAACTGATCAACCATCGAGCTTAAGGATCGGAAGTTACAAGCAAGCAGTCACCGGTGAACCAGTCACCAACGCAATTACTATCTAATCAATCCTCACTCAGTCAATGATCAGCAAGGATTATAGGTTGAGCTGAATATATTGTACTGCACCTGATGTAAATAGCATGGATATCCGCCATATCTTGTCGATATGCATCCTGAATCCATAGCTTTTCGGCAAGGACAGTTACTCTACAACTAGACTACGGCGCTCCTCAGACATTGGTTTTTGTGAAACCACTGTGAGGACTGTTTCGGAAAAGGTAGGCGGACACAGCGATAGAAACTGGGCGTGCACACGAAGATACCCTGAATTTAAACGTATCGCCACATTGTTTTCAGTCGAGCCCACATCGACGAGCGGAGAGCGGTCGGCTAGCGAGGAGGAGAGCGGTCGACTAGCGAGGAGGAGAGCGGTCGGCTAACGAGGAGAGCGGTCGGCTAGCGAGGAGGAGAGCGGTCGTCTAGCGAGGAGAAGAATGCGCGAGCCAATCAAGATCAGGATGCCAGTGTTACATTCGCTGTATTGGCAGCTCAGTTCACCACAAGTTGCTCGTGAGCTACGTACGACATACCCCCCCGCCCCCCTTAATTTTGGATTCTCATACCGACGGCCATTGAAACGATCGTCCACTTTTGTAGCCGACCTGGTCCAAGGCAGCCGGACGCACGCCTCTGAGATGATCAGACGGCATACTGAGGCGCTCAGAGGTCATTTGACCCCCGTCACGTCTCTCACCTAAATCTATTTTCCCTCAGGGGGTCTCGAAGGCCATCAACACCATCCGGTTGGTGAGGAGCCTTGTCGAAGAAAACCTGCAAGGAGAGAACATATTTACCACGCGTTCGGTAGTCGGAAAGAGTGCATCAAGGTATAAAAGACGAGGATATCGCCGAAGGATGAGACAGTGTCCAAAAGATTTCAGCATCTTCAAACAGCCGTGATCACACAAAGCTAGTTTTTGTTTTGTTCAATACCTTTTAGCGCTCTTTCGGTTGGTCTCAGCCTTATATGAGGAAGGGACCAGTGAACCATTGAGGAAAGGGGCAAGGTCCTGAACAGATACGACGCTCTTCACGGTTTTGTACCGAGGTGATCATGTAACCAACGCCAGTCGTTTAAGATGTTGGAAAATGGCTTGCTGCCATAACCATTCCAACTTGATCTAAGGAGAGAATTCGATGGTATTCAACCAATATTGCTATACGAAATGTTTTAGACACTATATTGGCCGACAGCTCGTGCACACGGTGAAAACAACGTGACATAACAGAAATTGAAGCATAAACTAAGTAGATCTAAAATTGTGAATGCAGACCATGTCGCTGACAAACTACATTTGGAATGCAAAAGATGATGATGATGATGTATTTGTCGTAAAATCGACGTGGTAGCTTTTTACTTAAGCACGTCCTAATTTATAAGTCATAAGAAAACAACAATGTACAATAAAATGCTAAAAGTACAGTCATAGCACTTATACGCGAGCACACATGAACATAGACAGAATTAGTCGCACATTGCAAAAGTACGCGTTCCATTCCCCAACTCGACAGCATTGCTCTGTCCGCATTGTGTCGAAAGACCAACGCAGGGGTGTCGACGCCGAGCCCATAAGCCCATTGTGTCGAAAGACCAGCGCAGAGGTGTCGACGCCGAGCCCCATCAGCTCATTGTATCGAAAGACCAGCGCAGAGGTGTCGACGCTGAGCCTATAAGTCCGTTTAACAATACTGCGCCATGGGAGCATAGTCGGCGCCTTCCCGTTTCTTCTCGGGGATGTGCGGGAGCATCAGGTCAGCACGATTTGTATCGTGCTGGAGCCTATGTTTGGCACGCTGCCAAATTGTGTAATGAATGTGCTCATACCGCTTGATCGTAATGCTCATCTGAGTTCCGCACAAGCGGAATATAGGATCTAGTGCTTTTGCTAGCTTGCCTGCAACGAAGCTCAAATAAACCGTGAAACATCAACGATAAATATCGGCTAGCCAATGGCAAAACATGACACAAATACGGAAGTAGCGTTTTGCAAAACTAACATTTAAAATTGGAGTGCAACCGATAAGAGCCAAGGCCTCCTCTTTAGGCCTCCTTTTTTCAGAAGACGACTTCCAACAGAAAATTAAAATCCGACACGATGCAAAGTCATCGAAAACCCTGTAGAACCCCACCCTGTAAAATAATCCTAACTGCGGCCGGGTGATTAAAACAGAGCCATCTTTGACGTTTAATAAAAAGAACCCATCACAGCCTGTAAAATTTGAGTAAAAAAATCGAGGCTTGCCATTATCACATCAAACGCAAGAATCCCCACTGGAAGGGACAAAGCAATGCTTAAGTTTTAATAACCCCCAGCACCGCCACGGTCCGCGGCCCGCGGCGGCAGCGTAACCTGTTGCCAGCTCAAATGACAACCAGCGGACCCGCTACCCTTCTCTGCCCAGGGGACGTGACGTTCCGATCAGCATGCGCTCGTGGCCAGAGAATAATGCATCTCGCCGCGCGTGGGCCGGTATAAATGATTGTTACACGGAGCCTCTCAGCGAGTCCCAGCTCCGTCACAGATGACCGGGTTCTCGGAACAATTTATATGATGTTGCCGGGCACCCCAGCCTGAAAAGCCTACGGATATCCCTTGCCGCTATATAAACGGCAGCGCGCAGGACAAAAATAGGCCCCCGCCTACCGCCTCGTCGCTCCCAGCCACGTCAGTCACTGGGTCCGGCAGATAATGAGGGAGACGTCTGGTTCGGCGCTGGCCGGAGATCCCGGGGGCGGCCCGCTGACCTTGCCCACACAATGCAGCCGCTGGGGCAGCGGCGGCTCGAGGTGGACGACGTGCTCCACCTTGCCGCCACCGAGCCGCGCCAGCAGCTTCTGCCTCAGCAGAGCAGTGGACCGGCTGGGGGTGAGCCGCGTCATGACGGCGGAGGGGTGTTTCCACTCTCACTCCACGCCGGTAGTGGCCTTGGTGGGGTTTACAGACGTGGTCTTCCTCTTGGCGCTTGCATTAGATGCTGCCGTATCAAAAGTATTTCAAGAAAATGTGCAGTCCGTCACAATCGGGGACTCATCAAAAAGATATATAAAGCTAACAAGAGCTCGTGAGACCACTGTAGGGTCAAAAACGTCCAAACAGCGGCGTCAGGAAGTTTTCTCGTAACAGTCCGTAAAGCTTCAGTCAGTTTCACGCGCCAGGGTTTCGAAGCTCTTCCATCGGCTTAGGTTTCCAGAGACCCTTCTTTACATCTCAGGTCGTCCAAGGAGCGAGCCGTCACGTGCCAGTCTGCACTCCTCCGGCGTCAAGTGGCAGCGCCGTCGATAGCCTGACCGGCAGCTCGCCGCTCTTTATCTGAGCTCACTGCTCTCTTGCATCAGACCGGCAGCTGGTAAAGGCCCGCCGTATTCTGCCAGGGACTCGGAAGCAAGTTATGGCGCTTCACCAAACAGACGTAGCTCCTCACGTGTACCACGCATGAGCTCACTTTCCTTCCCCGTTTGTTTCCTCCTCGCGTTCACCTCTTCTGCCACCTCTTCTACAGCCTCCAGCGCTTCGCCTCACCCGTTCACCTCGCACCACTGGCGCCTCGCGAGGTGCACGCCCGCACTGCCGCGGAGCGCACTCCCGCACTGCCGCGCCGCGTGCCCCTGCCGAGAACACTCCACCACGAGGTCGGCCGTCGCACGTGTTGCGTGGCCCGGCTGTGCCTTTGTTGTGGCGATCGATGCGTCGGCGACGACGGCGGCCCGTCGACGGCCGCCCGACCTGACGCCGAAACCCGCAACCTCAACACGACGCCGCCGTTTTCGGGGTAGGTCGCGACCGGCTCCTGGAACCGCGCCTCCACCACCGCCGCCATCGCCGCCGGCGCCGCCGCCGTCGCCGGGCGTTCGCGGAAGCGTGAGTCATCGGACGGCTGCAGTCGTAACGGACAGGTGGGCTGCAGGCGATCGACACAGCAACGCCCGGAGGCGGGCGCCGCTGCCGGGTCCACCGGCTACTGTCGCCGGACCATGGGGCCAGGTTTGGTGGCGTGGTCTGCTGTGTGGCGAGCGCTGCGCCCTCAGTGTCCGAGACTGGTGAGCGCCGGGGTGAGGCCTCCGCTTAAGCGGCTTCAGCAAAGCGTCGGGGGTATAGTTTCCTATTCAGTTGGGCAGCTTCAGTCCGTCCCCACGGCTTGGGCTTTAGCCCCTCCCCCCCCCCCCCCCCTGTTTCGGTAATGTTTCACCTTCGAAAATATATGACGCAAGCATCAGATATGATGAAGCAAGCTCACTTACAGCCATTGGTATCCTTTTTAAGTTAGACAGTACATGCTTTTTAAGTTAGACAGTACCATTATCTGCTTAGCAAATGTGATCCTCAATATGTCATGGTTTGATTACGTCATCGTACCTCGCACAACATTGATTGAGAGCCAATTAACAGCCGTTAGATGTGGAGATCGTGGTCACGAACATCAGATATAAACGCCGTTATGACGTCATGAATGCCACACCGACCTTGAAATACTCTCTCCGATAAACCCTCTCTCCATTTTCGTGGCGTGCAGCTCAGAACCTCGACGGGATAGGTCATAAGAGGGGCAGGAATGTTAACAGCACCGAAAGGTCTTCAATATGGTTATTTCAGTAAAAAACGCTCATGCAAATGCGGAACGCTCGCTTTAAACAGGAGTTTGGCCAAAGCCGTGGAAAACCCGCTCGTTGCCGTATTTTGGGATACGTTTTGCACATTTTGCGCTGCTCAGTCCCCAACTCACTTGGCGAACCTACGCCTCTTAAAGTGTCATCATTTGCAGGTGTGCTGTGAGCGACTTTAATACAAAGCTGCCATTATGCGAGCATGTCCAACATGGTAGTGCAAACGCAGATGAACGACAACGTTCCGAGTGCAGTAGAACAAGGCATGGCGACTTTACGCGGTGCGTACATAAGTCGCATGCGGGTATTTAGGGCGGTACCGGTCGAAGTCTTAACATAAGTCAGTCACGACAGGTTGTGCATTAAAATTCTGACGGCGAACTTGGCTGTTGTTCGTGACGAAAAGCTTGGAGCGCTCCTCGGCGAAGATAGTTAATGCGGTGCTCCGAGCGTTGACTACCACTTTGGCATAGTGTCGCCCCGTTGATAATTACTATAAGGATTTTACAACCCAACCACTTCACTGACAGCTTAAAAACAATCGACCTTACAGCACCACAGTCTAGCATGCATCTTCACCATCGCTTATCTGACACAACCGTTCCAAGAAATCATGCAATCAACACACGCGGTGGCCGGGTTGTGTCTCTATACGATTTAAACCCTGGTAACCTATGTCTGTCGCACAGTCTGCGCGATTCGAACTAGACATTTATATTGTCCGTCGACAAACTGCATACTTTACGGATAAACCCCACAGACGACGGCGCACCAACGGTAGAAACCCCGCTGTGTTCGTGAGATGAACGCTGCTGTTTATTTCTTTCTTCTCACGCGATGCCATACGATCTGCACCGAGCTTTCTGAAAGTGGGGAGCAGCTCTCCTGCTGCCTGCCCTCACTGGCGCACTGTACCCGTTGCTGGCCGCTGAGTTGTGCTTTTAAAGGGAGAACAGAACATCTGCCAACTATCACGAACGTACTCCGCGATGATTATGCGTGACTATACGTCACGGTAAGTAGAAAGAAGGGGCAGTAGAATGTGTAATCAGGATATCACAGGATGAGCTAGGCAATCAATTGTAGATCCGCAAGGCGTCATGTGTCAGGAAGCTCGTCGTCATCGGGGCTTTGCGACGGACTCAGCTGTTGAGGCTTTATGGCGCCGCCTGCCTCTCACCTCAGCAGGGGAGGTGGGTACACCGTGGGAATCAAACCCGTACCTCTGGATTCCCAGACATGCTGGTGTAAAACGGTTATCACTGCCGCTCAGCACTGTTCCACTTCCAGTACATGGTAGCGACTCTAAGTCTGCTGGTGCGTCGAGCCAATCAGTTTGAACGGCCGAGCGGATTCGCCGCCCGCCGGGAGGCCAGGCTGTGGTACTTCTGACGGACGTTGGAGACATCTTACCGTGCCCAAGCCATGGCCGTCAAGTTTTTGCTGAACGCGGCGGGTTTGAACCATGCATTCTCTCGTAAGGTCTCATGCGGCGTGTGGCTAAAACAGTCTCATGTAGAATCTAATGAATAAATAATTTGGTCTCAGGTGAAAGAAGACAGCGTAATCTTGTTGGCGACAAGATGCTTTCTGCGGCTCATGAATGACCAGCCCAGTGGAAAATTTAGAGAATGTTATCATTTCAAGTGGAAAGCTCGAGCATCTGAGAGACAAGCTGAGAAAACTGACTTTACGGTCTAAATCGAACACACCTAACCCAATTACGTCATTCCTCAGTTGAATGTCGCCCCCAAAATGTAGCACTCTGCTTTTTCATCCTTGCGCTGCCAGCCTCGAGGCATTTTCCTATCTTCTGCCGCGCTGGCACACCACCAGGGAGCCAATGAGCGGGCTCCAACTCGCAGACGAGGCTGGAGGTGGGACACACCCTCCAAAGCTTCTCGACTTCTGACGCCGCGGTCAGCAGCCGAGGTCACCGACTGGCCAGCTCGACGAACAGCTCGCGCGCTCCGCAGCTGTTGACCTCTCGCACAGAGAGGCCAGACTTCGGAGCTGTTGAGGTCGTACCAATGCCGTTGCCCAATGCGAGTGTCTGTAGCGGGCGGTTTGGTTGGTGGCCCGAGAATACCACGCCGGAGTGGTCGGTCGCGCTGCACGGGACGTACGTGCGGTCTCCCAGTCCGGCAGAGCCAGGCGAGAGGTCCAGCCCTCTGCCGGAGGAGCTCACGGCGGTGTTGATCTCCTCTCTGAATCACGCTGCGATGAAAACCACTTTAAGTGCGGGAAACGAATGCACTGAAACTTCTGGATCAAGAAGCCCTAGGCACATTTCTGACGCTTCAGAACGCCTTGGCTTTTCGCTTCCGTCGAACAACTCCTCCTTGAAGTGCGGATCGAAGCATGGCTGTTAAATGATGACATCCAATGGAATTCTTACAACAATATCAAATCCCTTGAAAACGAGTATCCAAGGTGTTCGGTTTCATAAACCTAGCTTCTGACACGATCTTCATGACAAGAGGGCGACGGCTCACGCGATCAATCATCGTCTCGCTCCTTTCACGCGGCATGAGGTGTCTTGCTGGTAATCATTTTTCGTCGACATATCTGGCTAAAGCAGCGCGATATAACACCGAACAATGATCACATCCGATTGCCAGAGGGCGTAAATATCATGCTTGAACTTATTTCGCCTTACAATGCGTCATTGCTTTTTGGTAGATGGCAAAGACAAAAGAAAAGCCGACAGACGTGTGCGGAATAGTTCGGTACTTACAAGGTTGCCTTGAGTGGACAAAGGTCAGATAAAGCAATGAAGCTTTATCGCCATGTGCGTAAGCAGGACAGAGCGTTCACCAAAAAGATTGCAATAACCCTAAATTTAAGCGCGTCTTAACACGCGCCGCGCGGCCGGCAAGATACCCTTCCCTCGGATGGGGAAGGGGTCAGTTTGACCCCCCGAAGATCTCGTGAACTAAGAAAGCTGGAGACGCCAAATTCGCAGGGTGTATTGACTTGTGCGTGAACTCACTTAAGTCAAAGTTTGAGCAAACTAGGTCATGATATTCGGGTCAAAAATGTCGAACAAGGTCAAATTCCGGGTTGGTCTCCAAAGTGCCCCCAGAACCTAGATAAGTATTTCTAAGCAAAAGATCACAAGTTCATTTAAGGTCAGTGACCTTGCTTGACCTTTTGAAGGTCATGGTGACCAAAGTCATACAAGACTGCCCTGAGTTTTGCATTTGAATAAGCGACGAAGATTACGCCAGGCAGTATGTTCCTAAAAAGCGTCGACCTGGCTCATCTTAGGACAATGGCCTATTCTGACCTCTAAGAAGTCAATGGAATACGCATGATGTGGTTCCTGCTATCAATGAATTGAAAATGAGCACCGGAAACTACCCCATACCACAAGCCCTAGGGCAAGAAAACAGGCTGGTTTTGACCTTGGTCTAACCTTCATACCTGACCTTAGGTCAATGTAATTTGCTCATTCAATGTTTGTGGTGCCTAATAAAGCATCTCAAAGATCTATAGCTTCGTCAAACACTCCATTGTTGCATCAGATTGACTGATTCCATAGAAATTGATTTTGCTGAAACCATAGTCTGGATTTGACCTGCCATAGGTCAATAGCCTTACAAGGAACATCTAAATTTCTTACACCGAGCGATCTGCTATTCAATTGTCAACAGTTGTGCAGAATTTGGCGCGGCTACGCTGCGACGTTCGGAAACCATTCCGGAAAAACCTTCGGGGGCTCAATTTGACCCCCACCCGAGCCCGTGTTAAGATACTCGAAACCCTACTTGTCTTCATTCCAGCCGTTTGTGCTCGTGGGCCTCCAGGCAAACCATGCCGAACACTGACACAATGTAAAGCTTCATTTAACCTTCGAACAAACTTCGCACTCGAACCGAATCCGTTTGGAAAGCAAAGCCCGAGAATGCCAGTCCCTATTGTGCGCCTTCGGCAGAGAACGCGCGCACCTGCAACCATATGCTGTACCGCATCACTCCAAAGTCTTGCGGTATGGGCCCAAGCGCCCGCGCCGCGCCAGTGCTCAGCGCCGACAACGACGCACCCGGCCCGCGGCGTGGCTGAGATCTCGTGTCGCGCCGCGTCCAGACCCCAATTAAGATGCAGGCACTCTGCCTCCGTTCGCTCCGGATTAGCCAAGATGCAGAGCGCGACGCCGTCGATAGTCGTCGTGTTCGCGGGAAAGCGGCAGGGGAGGGATCCCGAGAAACGGAGCTATCGACCCAGCAGGCCTGCGTGCCGACACGGCAGCCAGACAGAGCAAGGAGCCACTCTTTCGCCCTGCTGCCATATAAGCTGGGGAGATGAGAGCTTGCGAGAAAGAGACTGGCCAGATGTTGGTCTCAGATTTCTGGCGTAAATGCCACGAGCCGATGGACTTGTTTGTTCGGACCGTAGATGGCGTGCAGGACTGAAGATGTGATTACATGAATTATAATTCAACCACCTGATTCACTTAGATAATTACCCTAATATAATTAATCACATGATGCTGCGATTCTCACGAAGCGGAGGAAAGAGAAAAAATGCAAATTGCACTGAATTTTATTCTCCGTTCACCACGATTGCGATGCAGTAGGGACTGAATTCAGGGGAAATCTTAACTTTTAATTTTCGTTATTGTCAGCATTCGTGGTCAGGAAAAAGCTGGCCCTAGCAAAGATTGATAATAATGTTCAAGGACGTAACTGATTATTTGGTCGTCATCACCTCCTACGCCGAAGCACAGGAATGAGCATATGCATTACATGTGAACCGAAATGCGTTGATGTGATCACTGAGAGGCAAATATGGCGGAAAAATATGCCAAGCATGCAGCCTATAATCCTCTTCTGCATGGTGCGTTTTGGTAAAGTTCTCTAATATTGCACTTTCCACCCGCCGCCTGCGCGCGTCTTCCCATTTAAGGTAAAGCTCGAATGAGGCAGGGTCTCTGACTCAGATCTGGCGCGCGAACTCCGGCTGAAGCAGCGGCAAAACAGCAAAAACAGCGCAGGCCAGGCTGTTGGATTTCTCTACATCCTGTGCTTGTTGTGCAGAGCCAATAGCCGCGTGTCCAATTTCCAAAGGCTGCTCTCCCGATGTCAACAACATATACGGCGCACTGTAGGAACGGGCTCTGAAAAAGGTGCCGTCGCAGAGTGCAGTATCCACATAGGGAAGCGAATAACAAGATCACTGGCGTGCTGCAAGATTTCCACGGAATTTGGTGATGCATTAGTGCAGCTATTGATAAGGGAACCGGGCGCTCTTTATGCTGCACGCAGGACAATTTCAAATTTAAATGGGGCACATTCCGCAGCCCATCAGCAGTATGTGGGTCCTAAGGATTTCAGGCGTCAAAGGATTTAGGCAAAGTGTCTTGGAGTCAGCGATTTTCATCTTGAGAGCACGGGCGGATCCAAGGACACCAACGGAGTTCATCCTCAAGGCAGCGAAAACTACAACTTGCTCCCTTTTTAGTTTGGTTTTGAGGCCGGTATTTGCGCGCTGTTTGAAAATTGCAGCGACTCCCCCCCCCGGACCCCGCGCTGGCGCCGCCCTTGTTGGAGAGCGAATAACGCTATAGCGCGTATGCATTATGGAAGCGGTTATTAAGACTGCGATCGACATTTCAATCACCACTTGCAGGAGTCTAGGCACTTCAGACTTCAGTCGCTGAGAACTTCGTTGATCACAACCAAGGAACTTGAGGATTGGGTCGACATTCCCAGATGTTCCTGCTCAGGTCTGTAGAAGTATGCACTGCCCCGGTCTCGCGGTGTAAGGAACGCGCAATAACACCACATGAAGCGCGCAGGCTTTACATGGTGGACGTACTAAAAAAACTGCTCAGCCTGAACTCAGCACATCCATCCTCAGAGTCAGGTCAGTCTACTATTCGAAAGTTCACATTCAATGCCAACTTCCTCACTAGGCTGTTCTCTGAAGCTTGCCATACCAATGCCAGGCTGATTTAATATGTAATGACAATAAGAGGGACAGCCAGAGCAAAGCAGGCCCAGGCCTCTCTCTCACACCCGCAATTTTGCGATTTTAGTGCCGTAGATGGCTCCTGACAAGAGACTTAAAACAGCGAATATTCAGGATTTGTCCAGATAGTGAATCGACTGGTGCGGAGCAGATATATCAAAACAACTCTGATTTACCATCTTGATCGGTTTTCTTATGACGAGCTCAGACCGAACTCCAGTTCTCTCTTTAAAGATCCTGGTTGGGTCCCCAAATGATAATCATGCAGTTCCATGTCTGCCGAGTCAGACCAGAAAGCGTGAGCAGCACCCAAGGCAGACCGTCTGGTGAAAATGTACATTTGCAAATTACAGAAGCATACATCGCTCTTTCATGCATCATCAGAACCTTTGGTCTACAGCGAACAGACAGCATGGAGTTAAGCCGTCTAATCCAGCTCGTGATTTATCTGACATCAGGAGGGCACGATGCCTTTGAAAATGTCCGAGAGCAGTCCCCTCGCTGAAGCACACTTCAATGCGCCCCAAAGCGCACACAGTCCGACCATAAGCGGGAAATCCCTGCCGTGGTTGTCTTGCCTAGAGCATCATCGCCAGATGCCGCGCGAGCGGAGGCCTTCCGCGTACCAGTCAAGGCTTTTTTATTCTGACGCTGCGGCGAGCGCTGTTGACGCTGTTGGCGGCGAACCCCGAAAGGTCAGCGCCCGAGGCACGGCCGCCGCTGGTGGAAAGGTCAGGGTCGCGCGGAGTCGGACACACGTACCGGGCAGATGGCACCGGCTTATGCAGAGCAGAACGGCTGCCATCGACAAAGAAGTTCGACAGTGCACGCGGCCCTTGCTCCGTGAGAGACACAGAGCTCCAATAAGAGCTACGACGGACGCGGTCTGCCCAGCACAAATAACACATACGCATATTGTAAAAGTTATGCATTGTTTCAAAAGGCGCAAAACCGAGTTCATACAGTCAGGCCGGAGGCTTTATTTAGAAGATCTTTTGAGTGTAGAGATGGTGTTGACTGAATAAAGAACAAAGGCGCGCTGCCAAATTTGGTTATCTTTTTTGATGTTTTTACTGAAAGTTAATATTTCGCTTCGCCTCCACGGGTGATTCCTTGTTTGCGTCTTTTTAAGAGCTGTCGGGGCGTTAGTGAAAAAAGACTTTCTTCAGCAACAGGATTTAACAGGACAAACGCACCGCCATTTGCGATAAATGGTGCTCAAACCATATCACCTGCATGCCATGTGCATAACCAAATCACGCCACAGAAATTTAAGTACTTTAAAGGGTGTTTTGTCATCTCAGCTAATGTTTGCCCTCCAGTACGAATGTCCTCCCACGGTGTCACCAACCATAGTGCCACATCTCACATCCAGCACTGGTAATAAATCCTACCACGCGGTTGCAGCATTTGAGTCGTCCTACGAGGCTTATTTGTTTACCAGCACACATGTGTTTTAGTCAAATAGCTGGAACCCGGGATTAGGTGGCTGGGATCCAGGATCTGTGTAAATCCCAGGAGAGCTTGCAGGTTTTATGGAAGGATCTTCTGGGATCCGGTATTCATTTTCACACTTTGCAAAAAGACCAGGTATCTCGGATGCCTTTTATAATTGTGTCGAATGATCCTTCTGTACACGGAATCTGTTTCTAGATCCGGGTGCATTCCTGCTATGTCAGTCGCTCCCAGCCTAATCTCGACCTTGTCAAAATATGCGAAATTCTGCACACTGGCTAGTAGTGCAGCAGTTACGATCATTACCGACCGAAGCCGGATATAACCTGGCCGAGAGAAGCTGTAATACCCAACATATTGATTTTGGGATGGCACAATTGGGATTGTACACTTTTTCCCTCACAAGAACGATCCCAGTACTAGTGGAACGAAACTTTGCCGGCTTTCCAGGGAGATAGATTGCGGAGGACAAGCATTTCGCGTGGATTATACCTTTTATGTTACGTCTTTTAGTGTTCTTCAGGACACAAGTGAAACCGTTTATGTGTGATAATAAATGTGGCATGGCGAGGAAGCATTCTTCAACCTCGTGTTGTTAATTCACTTTCAGGGCGCACCCGTTTCTGAGATAACATTGCGCCCCAAATCTTGCTCAGAAGTATGGAATCTGGTTCAGAAAGATCGAATCTGGCTCGGGGTTGAGTTCTCAGTGATTTATCTCAGGAAATTAGATCCAAGGCTGCTTGACCCTCAACGGCGTTGCCAAAAGCGTTCCCAGCATGACAGCAAATGCTGTTTTTCTATAAAATGATAGCCTTTATATTGTCAAGCCAATCTGCAGCACAAGGCGTCAAAAGCAAGTGGCATTTAATAATGTGTAAACTCTTGTGCAGCTCTTCCTTTTTAGCGCTGAAATGCGAAACAAATGCGTCAGTCCAGCCCAGGCTGGGCTGCCACAACTGAAGGGAAAAACAAGGTTGTGCTTTCAACTGCTGGGGAAAGTTTAATCAACCCATTGAGATACTGTATTTAAGGGCTATGCCAAGTTACACAAGCTGCCACATTGTCCAGGTTATTGTCCAATATCGTGGAGAATTGGAATACCCTAAATGGGGCAAAGATGACGCATCATACTAATGATCTTTCATGTCTCCATATGATTCTATGAGATCTCTGGCGCATACATGAACACACGTTCCAAATGAGTGCGAGAATCAGATGTCTGAATCCCGGGTCCTGGATCCTCCAGAACACAGGATGCACTATAAAATGCTGTCCACGGGTGTTCTTGGATTGGAGGCCTCCTTCTAGATCTCGCGATCATGTGGTCTCGCTGATCTTGTGGGATCCTTTTTGGAACATTGTGGAATAACTCTTTAAGATCCAGAAGCCATGTCAAAATTTTCACAGATCTCCGAAATCCAGTACCTTTGTGGGATCTGAACACCTGCTTTCCTGTCAGTAAGGTATGTCATTTTACCTTACCTTGGCCAGTGTTGTTGTTGCCAATTTGCACGCTAGTCAAGCAAATAAAAAAGTCCCATCGCGCTGGGCAGATAGCTCACCCCAGCCACCGGAACATCGCCGCGCGCCGGTGAGCATGCTCACCTCGTCGGCAGGGACGGCGGCGGTGGCGTCCTCGCCGCGCCACGGCTCCAGGGGCAGGTCACCGCGCGCCGGCGACAGGGGCGGCGCCAGCTCGGCCGCGCGGGAGGGCACGAAGCTGCGCGACTGGGTGCGCTGCGACGCCGAGCCGAGACGCCCGCGGGCCACCAGCTGTCGACACGGCCGGGTCAAGGGCATGGGCGCACCCAGGGACTGAGCGGGCGGAGTAGTGTTGGGGGGGAGGGGGGCAAAACGGGGAACTTTTGCACGTGCGCTGATACTCACCTCGTTGCTACTGTACAGGTGGCTTGGTGTTATCAAAATTCCCTCCAGCCACAAAAATGCAATAGTGTGGGTTTCCCAAAAGTATCTGCCCCGCACACCACACCTGCTATGATGAAGCTCCTCCAATGGGTCGCATTTCAAAACCAATCAGCAAGATCACAGGCGTGACTCGTACATCGTATGGTTTCAGCGAGCCTAGACCCGGTAACGACTCAGGGCGTAACGCTGATGCCCCGCTGTGACGGTAACCGCTGCGTTCCCCACATTGTCAACCCGGCGGCGACCTCGAGCACAAGCGACCGCATCTTACCGGATCTCTGAGAACGGCAGTCCCGAACGTGTTCCGCCGCCCCATCCCACCAGGGACGGGAGAGCGTTGCGCGGAGTATACTTTGGAACATCCCCCGGCAATGGGCGCCATTGGACATGAGTGCAGTGTGGCATTAGCAGCCCCGATGCCCCCCCCCCCCCATGCCTCCCCCCCATCATTCCTTGTTTGCGTCTCCTTAAGAGCTGTCGGGGCATCAGTGAAAAAGGACTTTCTTCAGCAACAGGCTTTAACAGGACAAACGCACCTCCATTTGCGGTAAGTGGTGCTTAAACCATATCACGCCACAGGCAATTAAGTGCTTTAAAGCGTGTGTTGCCACCTTGTCACCTCAGGGGCACCAGACGCAAACAAGGAATAAACACGAATGCCCCCCCCCCCCCCCATCGTCCTTTCCATCATCGCAGTTGAGTGCAGGTGGGCTAGAAGCAGACCGGGTATCACTTTCAGTAAGCCGTCCGCAGCTCACCGTCGATAGATATCCCAGGCCTCGACACGTCATTTTGGCCACGTGCTCCTTGCGTCGGCACCTTCTGAGGGCAGCCATGTTGGACGAGTCTGTGACGTCACCGTAGTCCGACAGCGACCTTGGGTGGTAGGCGGGCGAAACGTAGGGATCCAGGTCCTGCGCAGGCAAGAACATTGGGAAGTCACTGTGCGTGCCACGTGCAGTGACGAAGAAATAGCAGTGTCCGAAATTGCGATGCAAACGAGCCCATGCAGGGATGTAACAATCGGCACCATCGCTTGCGGGCGCCATCTTTTGTCGTAAAAGTTCGAGCCCACAGGCACTTTAAATACACTGATCACCATGCATTTACACATAAATTATCATGCCCTTTCACACTGTATATGATGCATTTGTATCATCGGTCGGAGTCTTGGGTGTAACGGAGCAAGCTCGTCCATCACATTACCAGGAGCGCAAAAGTGAAAAAAGGTGTGGGGAGGGGGGGGGGGGGGTAGCCGGATGGCGTGGCTCCGGGCCCATGGTCCAAGTTGAGCATAAAATTACTCTCCCTCTAGTTTAAAACATCCCAATTTCAAGCAATTTAATGCAGAGAAGTTCCTTTGATGACGATTTTTAAAAAAAGAAATGGAGTTTTTATGAAAACATGCACATCAGGCGTGAAAGCCAAACTAGCCTAAGGAAGCGTAATGACACCCATTTCGAGGCTTCGAAGGTACGCGACATTTTTGCCGGATATTTATGTTTATACTATAGAGGTATTTGCAACCGTTTGAAAAATGATCTAACATGTCCATCGATCAATTCAACTAAATCAAACTATCGTTGATCCCAAACAGAGCCGACTCTGTTACTCACGCGCTATTCATTTCGGTGCGCCGAAAGCGCTCGACTTGAGAGATTTGGGAAACTGAGTGAAGGGTCTTGGCTGGCTTGACGGGCCCTCAGCGAATGATGGAGACCCTAAGTAGCCAGATAGGCGTACCGGTGGCTGGAGGGTTCCTCGGTGGCTACAGTGACTGCCACTGTCATTTTTTTAAAGGAGGTCAAGACACTTCTTCGGTTCTTCTCCATTTAGTGTAGCCATTTTTATTGGTGCTGCGTATGCAAAAAGAGCCCTCGCATAGGGCCCCACAAGGCCCCTGAACCCCCAAACGTTTATGCTAGGCTTATAGGAGCACGGAAAGGTGTGCGTGCGTGCGTGGTGAGTGGATCACCCCTTAGCTCCCACGGGATCTCCAGCCATTCGCATCCCATACAACAGGGCGCGGATATTTTGAGCAGAGATTGGAGTCATTAGAGTGCTCGTAATCCCAGCCGATAAGCTAATCACGGTGCTAGCGCGATCTCCTGCCCAATATTCATTATTTCAATACTGATGCAGGTACCCAGCGTCATCGTTGCCTATGCGTTCAGAAATAGCTTGGAGCCGGACGTCACCAACCAGCATAACACCTGCTTCCCATCGAAGCAGTCCTGTGTTAGCGTTCTGAGGCCTGAGACCAAGGCGACCAACCAGCGCGGCCTTGCAACAGACGCTGAAGCTCTTAAGGAACAGCAGAACTCGACTTCGCGGCAACGAGCGACAAGGGCCCCCTGCAATGTCGGCGCCGCTGTCCAGACTCTACAGAAACCATTATGCCGGGAATGGAGTGGGTGTGGAGCCGGGGAGTGGCCACAATGTCGGCCAGAGTCAAGCAAACAGAGAGCTATTCAAGCCGGTGACAGCCCACGACACGCTCTTGCCGCGGGCTCCAGCCCATTACATATGGCCCATTTGTACCACTGCGCTGCTGCCCAGCTGAATCTTACCACACACCTGCCTGCACTGAGATGGAAAACACTTAATGACCTGGAGCACAACTCACTGACCTTGGTGACTTGATAGGACACATCGACCTGGGGCATCACTCGCTGACCTGGCACACCACTCGGCCATCTTGGTGACCTTAACTGACCTGAGACACTACTCAGTGACCCTGGGGAGCCACTCGCTGACGTCGATGACCCCTCACTGACCCGAGACACCGCTCGGTGTGATCTTGGCGACCCCACTGATCCATGACGACACTTAGTGACTTGGAACACCACCCACCAAAGTCGATGACTCCCCAGTGATCTTGGTGGCCTGTGCTGACCTGACACGGGTCCTGCCTGAGCTGCCCGTACGCCCTGGCCGCCAGCCGCCGCCTCCGGTCCAACCAGCGCGCCTGGTTGCGCTCATCTTCGCTCTCGTCCAGCCCGAAGAAGTGCTTCGTCGCCTGCCTCATGTAGCTGGAAAGGGGAGAAGGTCAGTGGAAAAGGTCGGTGGTCGGTCAGAGGGGATCGTCAATGGAGAAGGTCAGTGGAAAAGGCCAGTGGAGGAGGCCATCCCGGGGTCACCGCGGGTGGTTGCGCTGCTGGTGAAGCGGGCAGGACGGGAGGAAGGGCAGAGAGGGAATCTTGTAGATGGCAGTCTTTTAGGGAACTGGTCATACAGTGCGTTGCCCAATTATATGGAATGTGGAGTGTGATATGTGGAATGTGGAGTGTGGAATGTATGGAGTGTGAAGACTTCAAACTGAGATGTTTTTGGTGTTTAAGAATTTACGTGACGTTTTAAAGACGCGCGTATTAATTGGTGCTATTATGTCAGAACTTTATGTGATTAACAGAGCTCTTCGTTGATAAAGACGACACGGTTCACATGTTACATTGCTCACTCGAAAAACATAGTCGCCTGATTTCGCTACATCGACATATTTTTTTAGATCCATGCCTCTCTTATGTAACACATTATCAGCAATGTACACACCTTCCAGTGCAAGCATTGCGGCAGTTCAGCTCAGTTCCTCGACTCAGCGTCCAGACCTCGAATCATTCGTCAAGCAACTGTATGTTGAGTCACGCACAAAAAGAATCCGGTTAATCACCCCGTCCCACACGTTGGAAGATATCTGAACGATCTCGTCAATAGCGCGGGCCCCCAAACAGGACAGCCGGAGAATAGTGCTTCCACGGCTATCCCGATTGCAATAGTTGAGCTTGAACCAATGAGACGTCAGAGTACAGTGACAGGAGCTCTCTAACATGTTCCAGATCAGTGCCTCCATGTCCGTCACGCAATCAAAGGACGTCTCTCGGTATCTTCCGAAGGAGCGCGGAGTCGGTACGACTTTTGAGGTGAGAAATATCTACTGCACTTTCTTCGCACGTGAGAGAGTTTATATATATATATATATATATATATATATATATATATATATATATATATATATATACATGCATATACCAATATATATATATATATATATATAATCCAAAATAGTTTAACCCTAACCCACCTCCCAAAGGACCCGTAGCTCCAACCGGCCATCTCCCCTACCTCTTCACCATATCCACTCGGCTCTCCTGGTGCAGCAGCCGCGGCCGTGACGTCACGTCCCGTAGGGTCACGTGACCGTCGGGCGCCGAGTGCCAACGCTTGTAAGCAGGCACCTCCGAAGCCAGGAACCTGCGGTGGGCGGACCATCAGCCGACGCAGTGCGGTTACCATGGTTACGTAATGAGGCTGCGAGTGGGTTAGCGTCGATAATAGCGTTGATTTCAACGGGTCTTAGAAGTGTTGCCTCGTGGAACTATTGAAAACAGATGGGCGCTAACACTGGAAAAGCCATCTGAGAATGAGCAACGCGCTCCTTTATTTTACACTGGCCGGGTTCAACAAGTTGCTTCATGAAAAGATGCGTGACTTATTTCTAAATTGTGAGCACTTCCATACGCCTCACGTTGAAGAGGATTCTGACACCGTGGCAAGCATCAAATGAGTCGGAACTGACGGTTCGGACAGCGAGTTTAACGGCTTTCAAGGGAATGCTCCATATTTAAAGATATTGAAGTAAGCATCAGATGTAATGAAACAAGCTCACAGTAACTATTGATATGCTTTTAAGTGGAAAAGACTGCTCAAGACAGCACAAGTTCTTTGTTTAGTAAAAACACAACATATTGTTTGATTACGTCATCACACATAGCACAACACTGATTGACAGCCAACTAACGGCCGTTACACCTGGAAGTCGTGCTCACGTACGCCAGATGTAAACGAATCACCAGTTATACTTTTTTGCCCTTGACCACTGCATGGCTAATGGAATGACATTATTCGAATGCTGTTATTATGGCGTCATGGATACCTGGGTCAACTTCAAATAGTTCCTCTGAAAAAGTCCGCGCATCTTCACGGGCGTGTACTTTAGAAACTCGAGGATGGAACACTCCCTCGGGGTATGTCACCACGGTCGAACACAACTCGTTAAATTGATTGTAGTCGCACTCTTCCATTTGATTTCATCATTCGATGTTTCATCATTCATCATTCATGCAGACTATTGTTAAATTTCCATTTTGTACAAAGATTGATCCAAGATATCTAGACGGCAATCAGACTGACTTTTTCTCGCAGCGGACGCCACGTGACGCGTGCTCCGAGTGCTGCTACGATTGCGTTCAAAGTTTGTAACTGGCTTTGAGCCCTACAGCACTAGTCAGTAATGACTGATAAGTTGCTAACTTATGAATCAAACAGGTAAATAGCGTCGATGAGAGCTGGCTGAAGGTTGCAGTAAATAACTCCGAATGGGAGCCTTGTCGTTTAGGGGGGAAGTCGTCTGTGACGCGGAGCGCAGGGAAGCGCTCCGCGTAGGACGCTTTGCTCTGTCTCTCGTAGGCGGCTTTGTTTACACCGTTTGCTCAGGCCCCCGGCCTAAAGTGAAGCAGGCGTTGTTTCTCTCGAAGCAGAACGTCCTTCTTGCGCGTGGTGAGGGGTGCCCGCACAACGTGCTATACGCTGTGGAAACCCTAGGCCTAGTTTAATCCTAGGCCTAAACGTATGAGTCGCCGGGAAAAACTCGACGTTGTTCAGAAACTGCTATATTTTGCTGAAATTGTGTGTGGGCACGATAGGTTGTGTTCGCACAAAGCCTGGAACGCCGAGCATCTGTGCATGTCAAAATGTTGTCGCAAGCCGAAATCAGCATAAAAATTTAGTTTAGAAATGCTATCATTTAAGTGAAAAATGATGTGCTTTTCCTATTTGACATCAGATGGCGACATTGTAATGAATTCGCACAGCATGTAGAGCAGCGAACGTGCGGGTTGCGTGTTAAACAAAATGCTGCAAATGTCATGCCATCCCTGTGAAATGCAACAGCTCTGAAAGAGGACGTGATTTTGTTTTCAAGCAGATCAGCTGTTCAACTTTTGAAATGCCACAACCAGCGGCGCAAAGAGCGGTGGTCATAAAAGGCAAAAAAACGGCGATTGACCGGTTTCGAACCCGGACCTTAGGGATCACGCCATACACAAACGGGATTGATGAGACTACTGCAGTTAAGTTGAAGCCTCTTGCCATTCAGCGAGTCATAAGCTGTTAGTCGCTGCGAATCGCTCGGTAGAAAGTCTCCAGGCTCGTGGATAGCTGCTAGGGTAGAACAGTGTAGCATATTTGAAGGGAGTGTTTCACATTTGAATATGTTAAAGCAAGCGTCAGATACGATGGAGAAAACTTTTTCTTAACTATTTGGTAATTTTTAAGTGACTCAGACTGCCCTAAATCACACAGTTGAACTATTAAGTACATTTGCTTCTCAATACATCATTATTTTATTAAGTCATGGGAAGTTTTTTATGACGTCAGAGTCACTGCCAGATTAGATGTATCAGACTTGCCACTGTATCGCACGGCAGGCTCACTTTAGATACTCCTGACATTGATGTCTGTGCACGTAATTTATATTATCCGCGGTATCTGTGTGTTTTGGACTTGCCGTGGTGTCGTATAATTTTTGTTGATGTCTTTTTTTCAACTTGCGTTTGCATTCTTGGTTAGGCGCTATTCTGGGCTATACGATTGTTAGCCTCACGTCTGTCATAACTAGAAGAACTGCCCGAAACGTCTCTGTTGTGTATCATAAAACACAGTTCATAATTGTGACATACAATTAGCGGCTTAACACTGGCTGGTAGCCAGGTGCTGTCCGTCGATGCGACGACTCGTGCTGGCGTACCCTAGCCACAGTCTGTCCTTAACCATGTTACTTGGGACCTCGAACACAATATCGCTATTGAACTAGGATAACTAATGTGAGATTTCAATGACGACCTACATGTCCTAAGTTGTTTTGAACAGACGGCGCGAAATAGGCTGCATAAGTTCACGTGCATCTAGCTAAGAAAGAAGGGATTTTTTTGGTCTCTAAAAGGACATAACTGTGAACTGCAGGGATTGACCTTGAGAACGGCTGTCTCAGTTCAATACCCCAAAACAAATATGGAACATTTCCTTTCAGACAAGCTCTCGCCCACTCATCCTGGTGATTCAAGGTTTAATCAACTTAAGACTCTCCGCATGACGAGACAAAGTATGCTACCTCAGGTACTAAAAAAACAATATGTTCTAGGATGGTACAGGATGGTCGTTAAACACACCCAAATGACCAGGGCTATCCCACTTAAGCGTTTTTCACGAGGATAGGAATGTTTATGTACCGTCGTTTCTCGAGGCGCCAAGGTCACAAAATGACGAAAAAATGTGTGACCTTTTCAGCCCACCCAAATAGTGTTTCCAGGGCAGGTTTACCCACACATCGATGACAAAAACGGAGGGGGCGAACAGGTCCATACAATGTGCCTGTAAATGAATTAATCGAACGGAACTGCGGTTTTAGTTGCACGCCCATTCCAGTGACGTGCACTAATCCATTAACCGCGTTCTTTGCGGCATATGTTGCATGCAACCTGTACATAAGGACGTTCTCTTAATGCCTACTGCGCTGTGGTTTTGCCAATGAATAGCGTCACGTATGCGCTAAGAGCGGGATCATATCGTTCCTGTACGGCATTAGTGGCTCCCTGTCCCTATTGGTGAATCTACCCTATGTTCAGTGATTGTGGTTATCGTATATCTATTTCATCTACAAATAGATTCCTAGTATTGAGCACCAACATTGGCTATTTTCGCACGAATGGGAACAAATACTATACAGATAAGCAAATGAACGCGATCACCATCCTTGTGACAGCCCCCAAAGCAATCTAGACGGTCGTTCACGTTCAAAATACGATATTTTTTACTGAGTCAGATAATGTGCATGCCGTCTCAGATCACGGGTCCATATCCCTACATACTGTAGCAAATTTTAACTGCTTGCGTGTTAGTTTCACTAGTGATGACCTCGCTCGTGCCAGTCGTCACGAGTCAGGCAAAGCTGAATCTTGCAAGCCTAGGAGCATATTTTCCAGTAGTTCACACTCACCAACACTCACCCCACATCATAGTGTCGACACGTACTTCCAACAGCAATCTTACGCATTCGGGCTTAAAGCATGCATGGTAAAAAACGGTTCACCTTATAACATACCTCTGTCCGGAAACGAGTAATCATCACGTGCTATGGAAATGGTGTGGTATCACGTCATTATTAACCAATGAGAAGTGTACACGACATCGTACGATAGGCGGGACTATTAGGCTAAGCCAATCACGGGGAATGGGATTGCTTCGCGACCCACGAAAATATCTGATACGAGAGACGGCTGGTGAGTGGCTGAGGACGAATTTTAACAGGAGGCATCGAGTCACATTTGAATAGATGCATAGCTTAGGTTCCGGCGAAACAGATGGTATATGATGACCGTTCTGTTTGCCAGATGTCCTTTGCTTGAGCTGGGACAAATCATATCAATAGCTATTCATAACCCATCTGGGCGACTGATGCAACGCGCGCCACCCGGCGGAGGGTGATTCACGCAACCGGAGGCTCCAACGGTGTAGTTATGTGTTGCTAACGGGCGGCGACCGGCGTAGAGCAGCAAGGTGTACTTTTTATGTCGAAAAGGGGATTTTGTTGCATATGTCTGCGTAAAATCTGCATAGTTGTTGTCTGCAAAGTCTGCAAAGTTGCATATGTCTGCTTAAGATATACAGTATTGACACGAAATGGTTTAAAAGCTGCCTTTGCGGGCATACCCAACAGGTTCAGATCAGATATCCTTCAGGGCATACTGCACGCTCTCGCAGTCTTCCGAATGGGATGGGGGTATTTCAGGGAATTCACAGCGCCCTCGGGCCGCTCCTATATTCGATTTTCTCGAACGATCTAGCGTTATATTCAGAAAGTGCTACAGTGATGCAATATGCCGATGACACACAGATTTTGGATACTGGGAAGAAAAGTGCAATGCAACATCTTGTCGGAACCATGGAGGGTACCTTGTCAATTGTATTGGACTGGTTTAACAACCACTCTATGAAAGTCAATGCAACAAAAACACAGTTAATAGCTTTCGGGACAAAGGCTATGCTGCGTCATATGCCTCCTTTGCATGTCAAGTTCGGCTCAGCTGTCATCACTGAAAGCAATACTGTCAAAAACCTTAGTGTGGTGATGGACAGAAATCTCACATTTGAACCGCACATTGATCAGCTTGTTGCCAGGCCGACGGGCGCTCTGA